TGCGCCACCGGTGAGGCTTCAGGCCCAGTGGCAACAAGAGAGGGCTAGGCCCCAGGGGGTGGTGTCTTTAGAACTCAGAGGTCCCCAAGACCCCTTCACTTTATAGGCATGAGCCCCAGGACATAAAACAAATTGTCTTAGAAGATCTTAAAGTGTCCCCTGGTGACCTAGTTCCATTGCCATCTCCCTCCACTCACCCAGACGCCCAGAGAGGGTTGATGACTGGCCCAAGATCACACAGGGCAGATACAGAGGAGCCACAGCGTGAGGAGGGGCTAGAAAGTGGGAGGGAGGGAGACCTGCTCCTTCCTTGGATCCAGATACCAGGGTCATGCCCACAAATGGACATCAAGGGCCTGCTGGGTTCCAGGCACGGGGCATGGGACAGTGACCATGACCAGCAATGGCTCCTGCCCTTGAGCACAGAGGGTCAACCATAACCCCACATTCACAGGCAAGATCATTTCAGGCTGTGGCAAGTGCCACATGAAGGAGATAAAATAGCATTAGAGAGGAGCTAGGGGCCGGGTGCTACTTCGGCCTCCTCGCCAGGGAAGGAAGGCCTCTCTGAGACAGGGCGTGTGGGTTGACACCTGAAGGCAACAATATCCCCGGGAAGAAACAGAAAGTGCAAGTCAAGACAGCCGATGCATTCACTGTGTTCCAGGCACCAAGCAAGGTCCTTTTCATGAATTAGCTCATTTAATGTCATCACAACCGTATGCGGTAGTAAGATTATCATTGCCATTTTATGGAGGGGAAACTGAGGCACAGAGGCCAGGTAACTTGGCTAGGGGATAGAACCAGGACCTGAACTTGGTTCAGGTGGGGGTAGAAATGGCAACCCACCCTTCCCAAGGGAAGTCTCCTGGCACAAGCTAGAGCCAGAGCAGGGGCTCCCGCACCCCTCCTCGCCTTCCCTCCCTTCTGGGGGAGCCCTGAGGTCCCCACTCCCTGCCCCCAGCCTCTCAGTTCACAGCTAACTGGGCCACCTCATTCTAAAGGGATTTGACTCTCGGAGACAACTAGAGACTGCTGAGAAAGGGCTTAGGGATTAGACAGTGACACCGGGAAGCTGAGGGACTTAATCGGGGTTCGGGTGTGGGAAGCGAGGTGGAGAGGGGATTTGTTCCTTCGCAAAGCCCAGGTGGACTGCGGAAGTGAGGAGGAAGTGGGGCTTGTGGGGAGGGGCCCAGCGGCTCCGGTTCTCCCTTTCTTTTGTGCCTTCAGAAACAACAGGTCATGGAGTAACAATAATCCCTCGCCTCTGGGCGCCCACTTCTCTAGCCATTATTTCAGCCGATATTTTTCCAGCCATTGTTATACTTGGAATTCTCACAGCGACAGGATTAGTTTTCTCCCTGGATCACAGGCCACCGGAGAAGGCAGGTGACTTGAGGCAGTGGCAGTCCCACGGCCGGGCTGCGAGGAGGGGAGGAGGCTCCAGCCAGGGCCTTTCTGCTTGGCTGTCCGAAAGCACAAGGGCTTTCCAGAGAGTTCCCACTGCCCTGGCCCCATGGAAGTAGAGCATTCTGCAAATATTTGTTGAGGGCTTTAAAGGGTTTAAAAGATCATTCTTTCTGACTCTCAAAAATCACAGTGCGGATCTCTGCACCGGCCCCCTCCCGTGGGCACAACAGAGGCCAAGGTCAGGGGTCTGAGAAGCCTCTGATCTCAGGCAAGGTCAATGCCCTCGTTGTAGTGAGGAGGCCACCGAGGCCAAAAGGGGCACGGGCAAGAAGCCCAGAGGGACCCCCATGCGTGCTCCTGACCGAATAGTCACAGCAGCACGTTAACTCAACAACACAGTCTACATCCAGCCCAGGCTCTAGACTCCCCGTCCAGGGCTCCCACATGTTCCCAAAAGAATCCAAAGTCAGGACTCTAACTCCCAAGACTAGGACTGCTACCCCCGTGCTCCCCCTAGATCACTGCACTCCACCAGCCTTATTTAGGTCGTTTGCCCTCCATACTTCTTCGGGCACATCCCTAGAAGGTATACACGGGACAACGCCCTTGTCACAGAAGGTTCTCACCTCCAGCCTGCCTGACCCGGGAGGCCAGGTTCTTCCCGTTGGGCCAGGCTGTTCCCTGATAGTCACCACTACAATACAAAGTAGTCCGCATCAAGGTTAGGAGAGAGGGGCTTCTGGCTGGCAAAGGTCATGTTGCATTGTGGGTGGATCGGAGAGGGGTTCCCAGAAACAGCGTTGGATCAGGGCCTCGAAGGCCAGAGAGGACTTGACGGGAGGACACAGGAGACAGTAGCAACTCTGACAGAGGCAGAAGGGCAGACATGTGTCTGAGGGACAGCAGATGGCTCCTTGATCTGAAATGAAATAACGTGGAGGGAGTAAGTGGCCATTGAGGACACAAGGGTTGCTGGGATAAGGTGGGGGTGGCCCTTGAATGCAGGTCAGTGCGGTTGGGCTGACTCCGGAAGGAACTGGGGAGCCATTGTGGATTCTTGAGCAGGGGTGCAACATATCTAGTGGAGAGGGAGAAACTGTCGAACAAGGATTAGTGGATAGAGACAAGGTGGGGATGGGAAGGAGGGACTCTCTCTTAGGAACGGGCTTGGAGGAGTTTACCAGATTATTTATTTAGGAGTCATAGTATCAGACTAACTAGCTGTTTCACAGTGACCAGGAGATAGGTACGTCTTGGTAGAGGACCTGGGAGGGAGGCCGTGTCCTGCTAGGTGCCCGTGTTCCTGCGCTTTCCCAGACAGCATCTGCTGGCCGCTCCTAGGCCTGCCCACACTTTGGCTTGAGGGCACCTGGGAACGTTTGGCCTAGAAGCCAGAGACTTGGGTTCAAGTCCCAACTCTGCACGTGCTCACACATGACCACCTCTCCCTTGAGTGCCTCAATAAACCACCTGACCTTTCTATGTTAGAAGATTGTCCAGCACTTAAGTGACAAACTAGATCTGAAAGTGCCTTGTAAACTGCTGAACCAATATAAGGGGCTGTTCTTCTACTGTCCTGTGAGTAGGTTCTACCCTATAAAGAACATCGTGTCCCGGGAAGGCTCTTAAATACAGATCTTAGCCAAGTATCCAGTGAGGAAGGCAGCCCTGCTCTGCCCCAAGGCAGGAGCCAATGCTTCTTCAACTAGGGCAGGACTGCTGGGACTTCCTGAAAACTCTTTGCAGAGGTGGAGGTCGGGGACCTCAACCCTCACTCTGGGTGAGGAGGGAGACTGGGGCATTCTGCTTTCTCCTCTCCTGGAGACTTGAGCGCTGAGGCAGCCAGGGCATGGCTCTGGGAGACGGGATACCCACAGACCCTTGGGGCTACCTCTGCATTAATTCTAAACCAGAAGGGGACAGCACGGCTGAGCACCTTCCACGTGTCAGGCGCTGGGCACTCCACATCTGTCATTGCCACTAATGACTTCAGGTGAGCCATGCCCTCTCGGGTCCTCAGTTTCCCCAGCTGTTCAATGAGGTGAGCTGCGTGATTCCCGAAGGATCTCTGTTTATCTCTCCCTCCCAGGGCTCCCCCATCCCCTGGCTCTATGGCTTTATTGGAGCATTTCTTACATTCGTTCATTCAGTGCACATTTCTCGACAACCCCTGTGCGCAGGACACTGTGCTGGGTGGGGGCGGCTGGTGAGGATTTAGAGGTGAGTAAAACAGGGCCCTGTGCCCAAGGACCTCATCGTCTAGCAGGGTGGATGCTACTAAGCAGGGTCACATCAGGGTTCTGAGGGTCCGCCCTGCCTCCACGCGCCTCCTCTCCCCACCTCGTTGGCTGGAGCCGCACTTCCCACCACCCACCAAAACTTTGCTCGAGTGCACCGTTGCGCTCCCACGGAACGAATGAGTCTTCCTTCCGCGTCCCCCCGAATTTTAAGGCCCAGCTCAATTCCACTCCCTCCATAAAGCCTCCTAGGATTCTTCCAACCCAAAGCAAATTCTCCCCTTTTAAAGCACCTCCAGACACCTGCTGCCTCTCCTTGGGACATTTATTTTGCTTTTGTATTCTAGTGGACAGTTCCTTATCTGCGGGAGGCCAAGGTGGTATCTGATTTGTTTCTGGGTCCCAGAACAGTGCCTGGCACACAGTAGCAGGGCAGAATGGCCCAAAGCATGTGACCAGGTGCTACCCTGCAGGTAAATTAAAGTGCCAGGGCACCCAGGCAGAGGAGAAAGGCTGTCGAGCCCAGAAAGGAGGAAATGTCTTCATTGTATGGGGAAGAGGCAGTGACAGGGGTGTGGCTGGACAGTCAGACGGCGCAGGCTGGACAGGAGGCTGCTGGGCTGCAGTGGCCAGAGCGTCCATCCCACAAGTCAGACTTGTATCTACCTGGGCACCCACAGCTCTGGCCCCTGGGCGAGAACTGGGGAAGGATACGTGACATCAAACCCGCTTTCACTGGGACATCGCTCTCACTGTGGCTTCCTCCATGGCCACCTCCATCCCCACCCAGAAGGAAGCCTGGCCAGGCGGGCAGCAGAGCGAGGTTTTGCAGGGCAAACTAGGAAGGGAAGTGGTCACAACAAGCCAACCCCATGCTAGGCACCACACCAAGTCAATTATGGCTCCCTTTAGCCTCCTGCCCACTTGAAGTCAGCTCCCACCGGTGGAGCGGGAAGGCTGTCAGCGGAAAGGCCCAAGCAGGGTCTGGCTGCGTGGTCGTGAACCGATGGCAGGACAGTGGAAGGCAGGGGCCCCGGAGAAGATCGGTCAGTACCACGGTTCCCGGAAGCAGCGCCAGGCTAGGCTTAGGGGACATGCCCCTCTCAGCGCGCCAGGCCAGCTCTCTACAGTCTCGGGCGAGCCGGATCTTAGGGGAGCTCATTAGATAGCACCTTCCAATCCCTTGTGGGTCAAGGCCCAGAGAGCTCAGGTGTCTCTCCCAAAGTCACACTGTGAGCTACGGGTCAATTTCGAACTAAAACCCAGACTCCTGCGCTCCTGATGCCCACGGGCCTCGGGCCTCCGATTTGAGGAGGGCCACGCGTGCCAGCGCCCGCTCCGCGTCGCTCCCCGCCCCGCCCCGCCCTCGGGATCCTTTAAGAGGCGGGGCTTGGCCGCCGGCCGCGCCGCCCGGGCTCGAGCTGGGACTTTACTCCGGCGGCGGCTGGAACCAGTCTCTGCTCCATCAGCTGCGGCGACCGCCCGCGCCGGGACTGAGCCACGATGAGCGGCAGAGTCGGCGATCTGAGCCCGAAACAGAAGGAGGCACTGGCCAAGGTGAGCCCTCGTCCTGGCGCGCCCGCGGCAGCGAGACCAGGAGGGGCCGGGTAGGGGGCGAGGGAGGGACCGAGGGTCCCCGGCGGGCGGGCGGGCGGCGGAGGAAGCAGCCCCGGCCGCCCCTGCTCGGCCCGCGCCCCGCGGACGGCCCCTCCCTCCCTCCCTCTCCCGCCTAGGGGCGCCGGGAAATCTGGCCACCCCCGCCCAGCCCCGAGCAGCCGTGGCGGTGCCACCTGGGAAGAAGTGTTGCTTGCAAGCCCTCGGAGGCCACTGAGGGCACAAAGGCGACATTCATCCTCGGGACTGGCAGCCAGGCCCTGGGCAGAGTCAGGGCTGCAAGTTTCCTCCCATTTCCGGGAGATTTTCCTCTTGCAGGGGCAGTGGCACGATGCAAGGGCCCCCGAACAGCTCCTCAGGGGACTTGGGTAGCCCCTGCTCGGGCACCAAGCCGCTGTGCGACCTTGGGCAAAACCCTGTCCTCTTTTTGCTCCTTGATGAAATGAAATGGGGAGGTTGGACCAGGTGATGTTGAAGGGACCCTGTGTGAATTCTGGGTTCCCCGGTGACTCACTGGGCTGGGGTTAGTTTGAGCTGAGACCAGCCCTCCCTTGTTTTGCAACCCAGGCCTGTGCCTGGCCTGGGACTTAGGTTGATGCTTATCCGAAGGCAAGGAGGTGAGCCTGGCTTTGCCTTGGCACCTGGGAAGAGGAAAGGGGCAAGAGTTTGAGGGCTGGACTGTCCTCTCAACCAACTGAATGTCCTCTTCTCTGTCACCCATGGGGAGAGGGGAGGTCACCTGTTCTCCCAGGCAGAGCCGATTGGGTGCAGCCCCAAGGTTTGGAGGCCCCACAGCTGGGCAGTATTCCATTGCTGGACAAGGGGGTGGGGGCAGATATCTCCTGCCATGGCAGCATTGGGAAGGCACCAGCCTCATAAAGGTTTTGTCCCAGGCGGGGCCTCCCCTATGCCAGGAAGGCTGGACACAGAGGTTTCAGATTTTACTGCTGACCTGCAGGGGAAGTCACGCAGAGAAGGGATTAGATGGTGATTAAACTGGAGACCAGGGGCTGCGTAAGGTCCTTCGTGAGGGGTGGCTGCCTGCCCGCAGTTTGGATGAGCAGTTTCCCAGAGCACCTGGAGCTGCTTTGGGGAGCGGGATGGTCTGAGTCCATGGCTGACCTAGGCAAGAGGCAGAGGTGGCCAGTCCTCATTGGTCTCTTCTGGGGCTATCATGTAGGTCAGTGACCAGGGAAAGGTGAGTGGCTGGAGCAGCAGGCTTGGGGAGGGCACATGGGGGCCTGCTCACCTACAGCGTAGTGAGAGGGTGGACATGGGTGTGGCTGTCCCTTGGGGTCACTGTCCACCTCCTTCATTTGGCACTACCTGCACCCTCCCCTTAATGGCTTCCTGCTGGAACTGTTCCCTCCACCAGGATAGCCCGCCTCCCTCCCGCTGCTGCCTTTGAAGTCCTTCAAGCCCAGCTCAAATGCCATTTTTTATGTGAAACCACAGGAGGCCACCGTCTTCCTTCCCTCTGCTCCCCAGCACGCTGCTCATCATCCCCTTACGGAGGGACCACAAGAGCGTGATGGAAAAAGCGTGTGCTCTGGACTCAGCCAGACCTGGGTTTGCATCCCAGCTCTGCTCATTACCAGCTGTTTGACCTTGGACATGGACATGCACTTCACCTCTCTGAGCTTTATTTCCTTCATCTGGAAAATGGGGACAATAATACCTGTAGGGGCTCTGAAGGAGGAGTAAGATGCAGTGCCAGGATCAGCGCTGGGGAATGCCTGGGGAGGTGACAACTTTTGCTGTGGCCTGTACCACGGCATCTACCATCACATTTAGCTGGGAACACATCTGCCTGCCCACGAGGCTGGCGTGTAGAAGTGCTTGTGGAGGGGCAGGGACAGTGTCTTCCTCCCTTCCCACCTCCTCCCCTGCTCCCCAGCACCCCCTGGCAAGACAGAGAGCACCACGCAGCACAGCCAGTGTCTGCAGAGTTGAACCGAGCAGCGAAGGCCCCTGTGGAGAGTCCCGGGCAGAGGGTGGCCAGGGAGGGCCCTACCACTCACCCAGCTGCCTCTCCCTACAGTTTCGGGAGAATGTCCAGGATGTGCTGCCCACTCTGCCGAATCCGGATGACTATTTTCTCCTGCGCTGGCTCCGAGGTGAGGGAAGAGGGGCTGTGGGAGGCTGGGGCAGGGGCTTGTTCTGGGTGACACAATGGCACCCTCTGAAAACCCTGCCCCTGGCGATCTGAGAACCTGGAGTGTTCAACCTTTAGAACCAAAAGGGCCTTTGGCAGTTACATAACCTCAACCTTCCTAGTGGATAGATAAAGACACTGAGGGTCAGAGAGGTGAAATGACTTGCTCCAAGTTACACTGTGAGCAAGCTGCAGGCAGAGGGAAGATGAAAGTCCAGGTCTGCTGCCTCTCAGCTCGAAGCCATTTCCATCCACTCAAAAAATCCGCTCTACTGACGCACCTGCAGAAATGGGCTGAGGAAAAGCCTAGAAAGGCCCTGCCATGTGGGAAGTGGGAGGCAGAGTTTAGAACCAGAGTCCTGCCCACTGGGAGAGGCTGGCCCCACTGTGCCCTGCTGGGATGGCAGGTCCCCTGCTGACAGCAGTTTGGGCAACTTGAAGGAGGGGCAGTGTGCATGGGGAATCTGAGGGGCCCAGCCTGACCTCGGGTGACGAGTCTCCTCCAACCACTGCCAGGCCCCAGAGCCCGACTTCTAGTTCCTGCTCTGCCCTGGCCTGGCTGTGGCACCTAGGCCAGTGCAAACAGCTTCCCTACACTCCTCCTCTGGGAGAGCAGGCTGTGGCAGGGTGCCCTGCCTGTTGCAAGACATGACACCACAGAGCTCTGCATGTGGCAGTGAAACGTACACATTTCCACTAGCATCAGGGTCAAACTCGGCCCCGTCGCCCAGCTCCTGAGATCTTCCCTTCTTCTCCCTCCTCTCCTCTCCTGTGATTTCAGGTCATGTGCCACCCTCCCTGGTTCTTCTGACACACTTTTTTTGGCCTGTATAGAAACTTTGTTAACAGACATAGAAATACTAAAACTCCATTGCATTAGATTAGCAGAGCTTACGTGGTGCTATAGGATCATAGCCCCAGATATTAAAGTACAAATCATGCCCTGTTATTTCTCTATGGGCACAAACACACATGCAAGCCCCAGGAGTCTCGGGACAGGTGAAGAGATGTATTTTCCTTCTCTTTCCAGAAATTCGATAGCGCTGGCATGCTCCTGAGGGACTGCTAGCAAACACCTGAGGGCAGATGCATCTGGGGGAGCCCTGTGGGGCCTCACTTGCCTCTGGAAGTGTCATTTGCCCCTTTGCTAAAATAAGCTTTGATGCCACCCCCTAGCCCACCACCCAGGGAGGGCGGGAGGCAGAGTGGGGGCGGCAGTGGAGCCGGGCCAGGCTGGAGGAAATTTTGGCATAGCATTTGCTCAAGGGCTGGAGCTAGAAGCAGGTGGGTGGAGAGAGTGGGAAGACTGCGGCCTCCTTAAAGGGCCAGTTGCAAGACGATCCAACAATCTAGGAGCTGCTCTTAGGCGGTTTCAGGGAACTGTTGAATAGCAATGAAGCTCTCTTTTATCTAGAAAAGGGCCGGCCTGGGGTCCTGGCAGCTGGTCTCCCAGACACCCCGACTCTCGAGTCCTGGGGTAACCCTCTCTTTGCATAAGGCGGATAGTTCGCCAAGTCCACTTATCTATCAAGCACAACCTACCCCCTCAAGGAATATCAGAGAGTGTTGTCAACGTCATTTGCCAGATGAGAAAACAGGCTCAGAGAGGGGAGGGGACCTACCTGAAGTCCCACAGTTAATGTGAAGCAGAATCAGGACACACACCTAGGGCCCCAGACGCAAGGCCAGCATCCTGTCCAGGAGGCCACCGCTGCCCCGTGAAGCCAAGTTCAGCCTCTTAAAACAGAGGCAGCGTCCCCTCTGTGTTTCATTCGCGCTTCACATTTCCTGGGCAGGAGCTCAGGCCTGGGTAGAACCTATTGTGAATTTCAATGAGGGTTTTTGTTGCCTTTAAAAAAACAACAACAACAAAAAACCCCTTTTCTCTTTCTCCCTTTGATTCTAAAGGAGACATCTACAAGCCACACACCAGCAAAGTATCTGTCTCTAACCTAGGTGTGAGTTCGGGGTTCCCCTCCTTATTTCCCTCTTGCGGGGTTCAGTTTTCTGCTGGCCCCCATGTGCACAAGTCTCCCCTGCCCCCTCCTGACTGGGGCTGCGCTCTGGGCACCCCAGCGGGTGGGATAAGCAAGATAGAACAAGCCGGTGGTGGGAACCCTGTAAGGGGGGCAGAGCAGGTCTGGGTCCCTGCGTTGCAGGGACTACGGAACCCAGGCTTTGGGCTGCCCCTGACCAGAGCAGCGGGAGCCCTGGGGAGGCCCGATGGAGCAGGCATGGGAGGGCACCATGTGGGGTACTGCCAGGAGCAAGTGGCAACTCAGGGAGAGCCCTCGCAGAAGATGCTGGATGTTGGGCCCTAACAGATAAGGGTTAACTGGAGAGCCTCCCCGCTAGATGAGATATGCGGGCTCACAGTTTGCCACTACTCCTGTGCCCTAGAAAGATAAGGGCTCTTCTCGCAGCAGGGGTGTCCTTCCTATGGGAGCTTCTCATTTCCATGGTCCAATTCCCCCATCACCAGAGGACATTGCTTTATATCTTCCTAGTGTTTCTAGCTTATTAGATGATTCGATCAGAGATGTGCAGTATCTTGTCCAAGGTCAAACAGAGGAGTGGAAGAGCCGGAATGCAAACCCAGATGATAATTCCTCTAGAAGCTGCCCCAAGCGACTGCAGTGGCACATGGAAGGCAGTAGTCGGCTCTGCCAGTCTGGGTCCAGCACCAGTGGTGGGCGTGGCATTGGGGAACTCTCTCGATGCACTCTCTGGGCTCAGGAGAGAGGACTAGATTTCACGACAGCAGAGTCAGGGAATGTGCTGGGCACTCACAGGGAGCAGTGATTAAGGGACTGGTGACAATCCAGAAGGCAGCCTGTCTGGCCGAGGTTCCAGGGCTGTCAGTAGATCTAGATGCCAACCAAATCCACACAGGACATACGGCTGGGAGGGACGGTTCATAGGTCAAATGGCAAAATTGGTCCAAATCTGGATCATCTCAAAAACTCTTTAAAGGACGGCACGAAGCTGATTGTAACAAGATGAAATTTGATAGGGAAGATTCAAGGTCCCACCTCTCCACATATGGAATGGAGGCTTAGCAGTGCACAGGACAAAAGGATTTGGGGGTTGCAGTTGACTAAAAGCCCCACCTGAGTTAAGGATGTGAGTGACTGTTGCCAAGAAAGTTTTTAAGAGAACACCTGATGCTGTCTAAGCACACTCTAGAGGAACACTATAAACCGGAAAACATTCCAAGGGGAGTTATTTGGATGGACTTGAAGCCAAGCTGTGAGGCTTGGTAAAGGCTCCAAGGATGGGCAGCCTGATAGTAGAGGGAACTAGGAGACAGCACAGAATTCGCCAGTCTTGGATGGGCTATCGTGTGGCTGAGAACGCAACCCTGCTGTCTGCCTGCCTCTGGAGCGGATCTCAGCTCAGTGTGACAATGGGAACTAGTGCAAATGGCAGCTAGGTAAGCTATGATTACCTGGGAGCAGGTGGCCTCAGGGGGACAGTGAAGTCTTTGTGTTCAAGCTTGAGCAGGACAACTTGTTGGGGTTCATGCATAAGATAAAGTGTTGGCCCAGGCGGACTTTAGTTCTGAAACTTTCCAGGAGCCCTGGGAGGAGGGCTCTTTAGGTCCCTTCAGGGTATGTGTGGGTCCTTTGAGGCCATGGCAAGGTTGGCTGGAGGCTCATCAAATCCCACTGGGATGTCCCACCAGCTCTGCCCCAGATTACACAGGCAGCCATGTTCATCTTTGCACTGTGGGTCAAGCTCTCAGTTGGACATTAGACTGTGGAGAAGATAAACTTTGTGTAAGAGGGGAAGGCCAAATGATAATGGGGTCCAGGGTTCACTTTTGCTGAGAGGAGACAAGAGCTTTCACCTGATCGCATCCCCTGCAGTCAAACTCCTGGCCTGAAAGTTGCAATATGCTGCCTCCAAGTGCCCTGAACCTTGAATTGCTCTCCTCACAAACCCAGGGCCTGCCGTGCTCCAGAGCGCTCATGAAAGTCCTCATGTTAGCGTCTGCAGGTGGGATGATCTGAGAGTCAGCTGGGGACATGACTGGGAGGAACTGACCCCATCATGGGAATAGGGGACTCTCCCACCCTCGGACGCCCCGTCTGCTGGCCTAACCCTGACCACATTTCCCTGTTACAGCAAGAAGCTTCGACCTGCATAAATCTGAGGCCATGCTCCGGAAGGTGAGATCCATTTGGCTCCAAATCGCGCTGTTGCCTCAGTTTCTCCCCATCAGAATCACACCTTGCTTGGACTTTTGCCCACTCCCAACTCTGATCACAGCCTTTGGCTTGTGGGACATATCTGATTATTAGCCAACCACTGTTGTCTTATCCCTCTGGGACAAAGTGCATTCCCTTCTTGTAAAGGCAGGCTTTTGTAGTTCCGGGCCAGCCAAGAATGCTAATCTGTTCTGCTGAGGCCTCCCAAACAGGCAGTGCCTTCTTTTCCCTTTGGGCCTCCTGCCTCCTAGGGAGGACCTGTGGCCTGGGGGTCTGCTCATGCTGTCACTGATTGTTAGAGGCCTATTAACCTTCCCCGCCCCCACTTCTTAAAATTCCTGATTGTGTATTTGCAGCATGTGGAGTTCCGGAAGCAAAAGGACATTGACAACATCATGAGCTGGCAGCCTCCAGAGGTGAGGACAAATTACCCTGCCACATCCCTGTGCTATGCCTATTAGACCCACGACCTGCGTCCTGGGCCTGTTGGACTGCTGGGATCCTCACAGGAGAGGTCTGACCGTGCCAAGCGAGCCGTGGTGGTTTCCAGAATGGGTACCCATTGGCATGCAGGGGAGGGATGTGTATGGCTGCCTGCTGACCAGGTGCCTCCTCTGTGTCTCTGCCCAGGTGATCCAACAATATCTGTCAGGGGGCATGTGTGGCTACGACCTGGATGGCTGCCCGGTCTGGTACGACATCATTGGACCTCTCGATGCCAAGGGTCTGCTGTTCTCGGCCACCAAACAGGACCTGCTCAGGACCAAGATGCGGGACTGTGAGCTGATTCTGCAGGAGTGTGCCCGCCAGACCACAAAGGTGAGTGGCTTACAACGGCTGACAGTGAGTTGGCCGTGGCGGAGGCATTCAAGCGGAAGCAGGGATGTCGTGCAGGAACTGAAGCACAGCTTCACGGCTGAGGCCCGGGCTTTTGGCTTTCATAGCCCAGTGAAATTTCCAAGTTTTAGAGACTGATATAATGTTGCCACATTTTTATTTTACCAGGTAAGGTAAAATACATTGAATACATTTAGCTTCATAAAAAACTCACTACAGTATTGTTATTTTTCTCATTTACCTGGGGACCAGTGAAATCTTTGTCATGGACCAACCCATCCTTGGGCAAGTATTTGGGTACTACTGGTATAGACGATCCCAGATTCTATGCTTCTCTAACTCAGTATTCAAAAAAGATAAGGAAAGGCCAGGCGCCGTGGCTCACACCTGTAATCCTAGCACTCTGGGAGGCCGACGTGGGAAGATCACTTGAGGCTAGGAGTTTGAGACCAGCCTGAACAAGAGCAAGACCCCGTCTCTACTAAAAATAGAAAAAATTAGCTGGGTAACATGGCACGTGCCTACAGTCCCAGCTACTCGGGAGGCTGAGGCAGGAGGATCGCTTGAGCCCAGGATTTTGAGGCTGCAGTGAGGTCCTGAGGAATAAGTGGCTACACGGGTGCCACAGAGAGCGCACAGTGAGTCAAAGGAAGAGGGAGGCTTCCAGGCCAAACTGCAGCACAGAAGGGACCTCCGATGTGATCTAGATCCACCCAGTCATTTACTAGATGAGAACACTGAGTCCTAGGCAGGAAGAGTGACTCGCCTAGGTCACAATTCCATGGGGTGATCATCTTGATTTGGAAACCCTTAGCTTTAGCCCCGTCCAGCTCTGGTTTGCTCTATGGTGCCTGGTGCAGTCGGCATTTGCCCTGAAGTGGGGTGGGCTTCTGCAGTGCGGCGGCCTGCTGTGACTTCCCGCTGTCTGTTCCCTGCAGTTGGGGAAGAAGATTGAGACCATCACCATGATTTACGACTGCGAGGGGCTTGGCCTTAAGCACCTCTGGAAGCCTGCTGTGGAAGCCTACGGAGAGGTGAGGGGCAGCGAGGTGGGCAGGAGGACTGGGCCTCTGCCAGGCTGCCCTGTGGGGTGGGGGCGGCGATGGGGACAGACCCAGCCTGGAGGAAGCAGGGCCTCTCTCCCTGGCACAGAGGTCTGGGCCCGCTGGAATCAGAGTGATTTTGTTTCCACAGTTTCTCTGCATGTTTGAGGAAAATTATCCCGAGACACTGAAGCGTCTTTTTGTTGTTAAAGGTAAGTTGGGCATTTCCTGTGATGGAGCCGAATGGGAATATTCCTGGGGCAGATTAAGGAGAGTAAAACCGAATGAGCCAAGGTTGCGGGGTGGTGTCCAAAGACTTGGTCAGAAGACTGATCCTTGACATGCGCAGAACACTTTGCAATCCGCAGAGCTTCCGGTGTTTATTGTTAATTCCTCCTCTGAGCCCTCCAGCCTGATGAGAGAGAGGAGACCCTTGGACTGTACCCACTGTACCTCAAAAAGGTGCCCACACTGAGCCTCACGTCCTGGGCCCCACGGCACTAGGGAACGTGTGTCCGATGTGGGGTCGGGGGGCGGCAGAGGACACTGCTAGGGACAGACTGGGCACTGCTCCCGGCCTGACATCATCTGGGCTTTGTTCCAGCGCCCAAGCTGTTTCCCGTGGCCTACAACCTCATCAAACCCTTCCTGAGTGAGGACACTCGTAAGAAGATCATGGTCCTGGGAGGTGAGTGTTCCAGACTCTTCTCTACTGCACAGGATGGTCTGTGGCCCAAACTGGGTCTGGTTCCAGAGGTGCCGCCACAGCCACCAGGGCAAAGGCACCCCCTCTACTGGTTTGGTAGCAGTGGGACCCAGGAGCAAGCTGGGACCGTCCCGTCTGTTTTCATAAAAACTCTTTCTCTCGGACACTCCCGAAGCAAGCACTGGGCTCATCAGTGTAGATTCAAAGATGAGCTGAAACTCCAGTCCTTGCCCTCCTTACAGTATAATAGGACAGAGAGGACCTAGAGAGAGAAAGCTTTGGCACAAACTAGAAAAGACACTAGAAGGTGCCGCGGAGCTCACAGGAGCAAGGTTGCTTTCAGCTGGGGCCAAATAGGAAGAGCTTCATTTGAAAGCACCTAGTACGTGCCAGGCCGTGGACGAGGCGCCAGGGCTACAAAGGTCAGATGGAGTCCGCTGGAGATCTTGTGGCCTCTTCCAACAGATGTCTCATCAGGATGACATGGTCAATGTGAGGAAGGGGAAGCCACACAGTGCACAGGAGCATGAGCTCACCCCACCTGAGCTCAGCAGGAGATGACACCTACCTAAGCTGTGCGCTGCAAATGGATAAGAGTCAGACACAGCAAGGCCGGAAGCTGCTTGTTAGAAAGAACAGCATTGAACAGACATGACACAGCATGGCACAGGCAGCTGTCATGGAATGCCAGGCAGGGCGCAGCAAGAGATGAGGCTGGAGAGGGAACCAGGAGCTGGGGCACCATGTTGAGAAGCTAGGACATGACTCTACAGGCCACGGGGAACCAGAGAAGAGTTTTTGGCAGGGGAGCGCCACAATCGGAATTTCAAATGAGACATTATACCAGCAAGATTGCGAAGGACATAGAGACCAGTTTGCACACCGATGCCTTAGTCCGTGCAAGAGGTGTTGCGAGCAGTAGCGATAGGGATAGAGAGGAGAGGGTGGATTTAATACTTACTTAGAAAGCAAAACAGCAGAACTCAATTGACTGGATGTAGGAAGTAAGGGAGAAAGGGAAATCTAGAACGATCCCCCGATGTGTGGCATGACTGAGTAGTAGATGGTGATGCATTAGTTTAACTGGGGAAAACACTGGAAGAATAGGCTTGAACGAGCTTGAAGTTGAGTTTGAGAATGGTGTGAGATATACAGATGTTGGGATTACTTGAGTCGGAAGCTTAGGAGAGAACTCCAGTCTGGAGATTTGAGAGGTGTCAAATAAAGGTAGCGGCCGAACCTTGACGGTAGCTGCGACAGCCCACGGAAGAACAGAGGCTGAGCCCTGGGGAATATCCAAGCTCAAGGGCAGGCAGAGAAGGAAGAGCCCACCAGGGAGACTAGAAGAAGTGATTAATGAGGTTGGCAGAGAAGCAGGTCAGCAGGGAGTGGATGTACAGGGAAGTGGGGGAGAACATCAGGGCACAAGGGAAAGTGTGACCCAAAACCCAGCAAGGAGGACACACAGGAATCAAGCCAGCCAGGGACAGGCAGGAGTTCAGTTTTGCAGGAGCATGAAGTGGAGCGGTGGGAGAAAGGGCTGCAAGTGTGGATTGGGACAGCCTCATGGAAGGCTTAATGCCACCTATGGAGCTGACCTTGGGGATAAGTAATAGGGATTCTGAAGGTTTCTGAATGTTCACCTTTAGGTGACATGTTAAAAGTGGGGATTTTCCAAATGTGTGCCAGTGAGACCCAGTAGGACTTCTGGGTTCTAGCCCTAGCCCAGGCAACAAAAAGTTCTGCGTCTTCTTGACTCAGTTACTCTCCCTGTAAAATGGGAAGAATCCTCCTGGCCTTATCCCAATACTCCAGCTGAAATGGGGGTAGAAATATAAAATCTACACAAAGGCTTTTATGATTTTTGGTTTTTCTGCTGCTACCACCCACCATGTGCACGAGGCAGTTTGGTTTCCTGGCAGCAGAGCTGTGTAGGAGGTTCAGTCTGTTCTCCTACCCACACCTAAAACTCTTTCAACCAAACCTGCCTTGGGCTGGGGAGGTACAGGATCTTCAACAGAGGAGGGAAAAAAATTCAATCTAGGCTGGTCATTGGAGCTTAGCAGTGTAGATTAAATCACCCCAAGACCACAGACACTGTGTTCCCAGGAGTTGCATGGTCTCTGGTCCCTAAAAATCTGAGGACTGGCAGACCCTGGACAGCCTCTGTGGATTTCCAGCCAGCATAGCACAGAGGACACTGGGTTATACCCCATGGCTTGGAGCTGCTGCCTATATAGGCATGGAAAGGTTTCCAGTATCAAAATATTGTACTTGGCTGGTATTTGTTTACAAATTTGGATTGGTGGAGAAGTGGTTCTCAGCATTGGCTGTACCAGAGTTAAACTCTCCTAGTCAGGAAAGGGCTTATTAAAAAAAAAACAAAAACAAAAACAAAAAACAAAAAAAAAAGGGCCAAATCACTGAGAGCTAAATAGCTGAAAACAACAGGAGCCATTAGTGAAACTTGGCTGAGGAAAAACCAAAGGAACCCATTTAAGGGGTCACTCTACAGGGATGCATTTATTCAGGAAGTCATGATTAGGTGTAGGGGAAGGTGGGGGAAATCTGCTGGTATTTGGGGCAGAGGGGGTGATGAGGTGGTGGATGGGTTTTTTTCTGCCTGTTTAGTGTAGACCACTAGGGTCATGTATGGTGAAATCTTACCTAGTGGTGAGACACATCTTTCTCCTTCCTTCCGTCTCCTGTCAGCAAACTGGAAGGAGGTTTTACTGAAACATATCAGCCCTGACCAGGTGCCTGTGGAGTATGGGGGCACCATGACTGACCCTGATGGAAACCCCAAGTGCATATCCAAGGTATGGGCTGCTAGGGGCTGGAGGTGAATAGGGAAGCCTGGCTCAAACGCACGTTCTGGCTCACTCCATGCTCTGCTTCTAGATCAACTATGGCGGCGACATCCCCAAGAAGTATTACGTGCGAGACCAGGTGAAACAACAGTATGAACACAGCATACAGATTTCCCGTGGCTCCTCCCACCAAGTGGAGTATGAAATCCTCTTTCCTGGCTGCGTCCTCAGGTAGGGCCCTTCTGGGAAACCTGAGCCTTTCATCTGTAGGTGGCTGGGGAGGGAGAAGCCCTGGTACCAAGGCCCCAGAGAGGACACACACAGATAGAATTATGTCTAACTGGGTGATGTCCCCTGCAGGTGGCAGTTTATGTCGGATGGGGCAGATGTTGGTTTTGGGATTTTCCTGAAGACCAAGATGGGAGAGAGGCAGCGGGCAGGGGAGATGACAGAGGTGCTGCCCAACCAGAGGTACAACTCCCACCTGGTCCCTGAAGATGGGACTCTCACCTGCAGTGATCCTGGCATCTGTAAGTAGCTCTGTCTTGGCAATGTCCTAAAGCCCCTGTCCAGCTTTCTGCCTGTGAGTCTCCTCTTCCTCCATGGATTTTTGGCTCTCAGAATGTTAGAACCAGAAATGCGACTCCATCAGTTCAAGTCTCTTCTTGTAGAGATGAAGAAAACTAGGCTTGGAGAGGTGATATGACTTGCTCAAGGTGACCCAGCTGCTTAGCAGCAGGGTGAGATTCTGACCTGATACTCCCACGTACAGGTGAGTCACAGTCCTACGTGATCACAGGGCTTCAGCTCATCCGGTCCAGGTCTAACTGGGATAATGACTGGCCAGACATTTCTTGGGGATGCTCCTTCCCAAAGGCCAGAGCGACAGGACTGGCTGGGTGGGCACAGGATCACAGGGTGAGCAGAGTGCTGAGAAGTCCTGCTTTGTCCCCTCTGAGCCCCCTTCATCTCCGGTTGACCAAAGAATGGACACAGTGAACAGGCAGTCTCCACAAGAGTGGCAAATAGACATTTAAGAAGGTGTTTAACCTTGCTTGACTTTCCAATATTGATTAAAATTCCCTTTGACTCAGCAATTCTACTTCTGGAAAATTTACACAGAAATATTTACACAAATACACACAGATACTGGAAGAAGGATGTTCCCAGCAGCCTGGAAAATGGGCAGTAAACCACGTGGCCATAAGGTCTTGTTAAATAATTTATGGTCCATCCAGACAATGGAATATCATATACCTGTTAAAGAGAATAAATTGGCATGTAAGATGTCCGATACATTTAGATACGTGTTAAATAAACAAGCATGAAACATAGCATGTATGGTATACACTCAACTTTGGTTAAAAAAAAAAAGTGTGTACCCAGTAAAAGAATTCTGGGGGATCTCTGCTAACTCAGAATGATTATCTCTGGGGTAGTAGGATGCTTATGGATGGCTTTCATTTTTATACTATTTCTGCAGATATATTTTATAATGACTATGCAGTACAAGTAGAAAAACCACACACACACACACACACACACACACACACACACCCCAAACCTCCAGTTTCCTTTCTGTTAGAGCCAATGGAAAATCAATGAGAACAAGGGCTTTATCATCAGACCTGAGCTGGACTTGGCTATGGACTGGCTGCATGGCCTTAGGCAAGTGACATATCCTCCCCAAACTTGCTTCCTGATTGCTACAATGGGGGTCTCCCAAGGACACCCAATAATTTAATATGATAAGGTCTTTGAGGCATTTAGTGTAATGCCTGGCATATAGCAGACACTCAACACACTGTCGTCACCATTGTTATGGCAAGGGCTGGGGAGAAGCCCTGTGCCCCAAGTCTACGGCAGTCTGGCCAGGAGGTCTGAACTAGCCCCACAGATGTCTCGCGCCAGCCTCTGTGCTTGTCCACACCATCACCTAACCTGAGACTCTGCCTCTTCCCTCACATCCCAGGCAGCTTCAGCCTCCACCACCCCCTCCTCACAGATGCTCTTAGCTCCCTGGGGAGGGGGGAGTATTCTTGTTAGTGAGCAGCAGGGCTGGGGTGGGGGAGAGGCGTATACTGTGTGCTTCAGTAAGAACAAGACTTAACACCCACCCAGAAAATGTCACCCACAGAGGATAAAGCACTTCAGACATACAAACTTGAATTGCTTTTTTTAATGGATGGGGAAGCTGAGGTATAGAAAAGGAATGTTCTCTCTCCCACAAAGTAGCTTGTGTAGACACCAAAAGCCAGAAGACACCGGATAATCCTAGAGTCCCGGTGCAGGACCTCTTGGCCACAGGCTGTCCTTGATGTGACAGAGAAGAGAGACCCAGGGAAGTGACTGACCCAAGGTCACGGAGCCAATAGGCGAGCCACAATGCATTACATTACCCTTCTGTCTTCTCTTTAGTATCTGAAGGAACAGCCTGAGAAGAAACCGCGAACCTTTTAACATAATCAGGCTTGGGTCTGCAAATCCCAAATTTATTTTAGTTTCTCTTGGATACATTCCTGACAGAACCTTTACCTGCCTGCAGGGCCTTGACTGGGATCTGCTAGTTGCCCATTCCCAGGAGGAGCAGGGTCAGGCCAGCATCCATCCTCCTTCCCAGGTGTAATGACAATGAGGTGGATCAGCTGTCATCTGGGGCCACGGCTGGGGTTAGACCTGAGCCCAGAGAGAACCCAGTGTTAGGTTACACGCTCACCTGCAGGAGGGCAATGCCCTGGGAGAACAGGTGTCCCCTGGAAAGTGGAACATAGTCACCCAGTAGAGAAATTAAAATCTGTGCCACCCTCGACGGCAAATGCACATTAGCCCTCCCCCAGCCCCTTCGGTCCTTGTCCCCGTCTACTAAACTACTGAGGAGGAGGACCAAAGTTTGAATTGATTTAACTTTTGTTATCTTACCTGATTTTTATTGAGGGCCTATTTATTGTAATAATAGTATAGAATATTCAACTAGGAATGAAACGATTCAGAAAAAAAGACCTGGTTTTTGTCTACCAAGGGTGCACGATGTGGTCTAGAAGACCAGAAACACTGTAGGAAGTTTAAACAGCACTGCCAGGCCATGCTGCAGGGAACAGACCCCAGCTGGGCACCAGGACGCCTGGTTTCTCAGTCCAGCTTTGTCACTAACTCTTCCAGTTTTTTTAAAAGACCCACTACAGAGCATCTTCCATTGTCTTGAGCAAATGTCTCTAAATAAATAGATCTGGCTTTCCTTCTCCTTAAAATGAAATGAGTAGACAAAAGCAGGGGATATTAATCTAGGGTCCCCTGGAGCAGTGGTTCTAAATCCTAAAGCTCAAACACTCCCCTTTTATAACAACAGTGTCTAGTGTCCCCTTTACTATTCTGAAATGAAACTCATAGTTAATATAATCCACCTACCCACATAATTTAAAAGTCAATATAATCTCCTATCTGTAATAAAGAGAAGTAAAAGCTTACATATATATATTTTTTTCAGTACATAAATGAGAGTACAAGATTATACCTACCCCTTCACACCCTCCTCTTCAGAATAGTACCTTTCCCATTGGGAACCAGTGCCCTAGATGGTCTATGTTAGACTCCAGGGAATCTGAAATTGCATGTTTTTATCAGATTCCCAAAGGGATCAGTTACCCAACAAAAGCTAAGGAGTCTTAGCCTGGAGGATCTCTGGGGGCTCTATGAGTCTATGAGTACCTGATTAGTGTCAAAATGAACTGTACAAACTCTGGAGTTGCAGTGATTCCATTTCCCTTGGGCCTGTGTGTCCGATCAACCCCTTCCTTGTTTCTAAGGCCAAATATCTTGCTAGGCAAAGCCACCTCAATCCTGGTACTTGGTCCAAGGAACTCAAAGGACCTCTCCTCCATCATGGATAACTGGTTGCTAAGGCTCTATCATCCAGGGCAGAGAGGAAGCTTCACTCTCTCCAGAGGGACTGTTGGTCCTAAAAGACCTCTGGTACAGAGAAAACATAGATGACTGATACTCACTTCACACCATGGAGGAAGAGTTGGTGGTATGTCTAGCCTTGGTCTATACGATGCATTTTATCCAGGGTCAGGAAAAGGTTAAGTCTTAGGATTAAATCCAGTTTTTTTCTTGCTGGGAAAAGTGAGAAAAGACCAGGATAGGGAAGAAGCAGAGCTAGCGTTTTTGTTTTCACACTCAGTTCTCTCGAAGGGGTGTTTGGCCGAAATGGAACAACTTCTCAAAGAAACAGGGTTGGGGTAAAAGCAGTCTGTTCCTTTGCCAAGGCTTGGGAGCTTTCTCTGCCAAATGCATGCCTATTTTCTCTTTCTAGAGGAAACCGCTGCTAACACTTCTTATCTATTATCCTACCAAATATTTTCCAATCCTCTAGAAGCATCACGTTTCCATAATAAACAAGAGTATATACACACGTATACATTCACGAGAATTAAGTCAGTCACTGAGTGATTGTTCAAAGGAATTTTGAAACTGTAAAACTCATCGTGGGATTTGAGAAAACTTCCCTGTAGGACAAGCACCTGAGTGGTATTATCAAAGAGAACCTGAGAGTGTAGGTGGATCAAGTAGCAAAGCCCAGAAAGATTTCTTAACATATATATTATAAAAAATGTTACAAACTGTTCTGCACTTTTTTGGCCTCAGGCTATATGGTGGACAGTTTCCCCAGTCACTTCTATGGAGCTAACCTTTCTCTTTGTCGGAATAGTATTCCATCATATGGACTACAATATAAATTGTTTAAACAATTCTCTTTTGATGAACTTTCCAGTTTTCCCAGTTTTAGTATTAAAAACAGGAATGCAATGAGCACCCTTGTCCAAAAGCTTTCTGTTTTAAAAAGTCTGCACATTTTACCTTTTGTTAGAAACCGAACAGGGCCAGGCCTTTCAGGGCCCAAGTCTGGCAGGACAAAGGCAGCAATGTGCATCAGAGGGAAATTCTAGCTCCATCATTTCCTCACGGTGTGACACAAGAACCTTTTTATCTGATGTAAACCAGGATCGATGCTGAATTTATAAGAGTTGTGAGGAAGGGCAAGATAACATATACAGATTACTCACCTAGTGCTGCAACACATGAAGTCATTATTACTATTATTGTTACAATTACGACTGCTGCTAACAATTCTACTTCCCCCTTTCAAAGCCCAGTGCAAACTCTAACTCCTCTAAAAAGCCTTTCACATGATTTTGGGCTACTGGGTCCTCTTCTTCCAAGCTGTTACAGACATGATAGTCTCTGTACTCATCTGGCTCTTGGCAGGTTCTGCCTCATATTTTTTTCTCTCCATGAATGGCCTAATCAACCCAGCTAGATTAAGTTTCAGAAGGTCAAGGGCCATTGCTTATGCCACCTTCATCCCCATTACCTACCACACTGCCTTGCTCAGTCAATAAAATTCAACAAAAATCGCTGTCCCCAAGCCCTCTGTCAGAACTGCCTGAATGTCTGGTTTCTGCCTCCCCTCAGATGTCCTGCGGTTTGACAACACCTACAGCTTCATTCATGCCAAGAAGGTCAGTTTCACTGTGGAGGTCCTGCTTCCAGACAAAGCCTCAGAAGAGAAGATGCAACAGCTGGGGGCAGGCACCCCAAAATAACGCCTTCTCCTAAAGCAGGCCTGGCCCTTTCAGTGTCTCCCTGTCAATTTCTACCCCTTGTAGCAGTCATTTTCCCACAACCCTGCAGCCCAAAGACATTGGGCTGGAGGAAAGACCTCAGGCTGGATCTGGGGAGCTTTCATTTCAGAATCAGGAAGAAGAGGAGTGGCTGGAGTGGGTCTCCTTGCCGATCAACTTACTAAGGAGTCCCCAGGGGCTGGCCACTGTGATAGGATCTATCTGTCCTGTAAAGTGTGCCAACTTCACCTGTCCAGTGACAGCTAAGATAAGAAGCGGGGTACCACGGGGTGGCAGTAGGGAAGAAATTAGAAAAAGGGTGAAAGACTAAGTGTTAAGATTCTAACACTTCAGGGAAGCCAGCTGCAGGGAAGGAACCTGCTCCCAAATGAACACATAAGTTTAGATCATAATGAGGAGTAGCAGGGTAGCTGGTTGCTAGAGCTATGGTGGGGGTCAGAGGCTCTTCTCAATTTTTTTATTACTGAGGCTGGGGTATCTTTTGGCTTTTCCCAGGCCTCAGGAGGTGGCCTTGAGTCAGCACAGATCTTCCCACTCAGGGGTAGACAGGCAGGCCTCTCCCTTACCTTGAGAACTACAGCAATTCCTGGGCTCCACTGACTGCCTCTTTAATTACTGATTTTCAGTGACTCAGACCTTCCTGGGACTTTTGGTATCCACCCACTGTTTTCTAACACAAACCGCAAGGGAAATTACCTGCAGGAATCAAAGCCATGGGAAGGGCCAAAGGATGGGGGTGGGAGTCCTAAAAGGGGGGGAGGTCTTCCAGTCCCCTTTTCAGTGCTACCTGCCTCTCACCAAGTGATCCTACATTTGAGCACCCTAGACAAAAATGGTACGTGGGATCGAGACAGTACTACTCAGAGAGGGTATTTCCCAGTCTGAGTCTCCCACGGTGCCGCCAACCCCGCTTCCTGACTGACCTGAGCAAGGCCTTGGCATCCCCATCTGTGTGGGAGGCAGACAATGGATGCAGTGGGTTCCTCGTGCCTGTCGGCGTAGCTAGGTCGGGAGGCTGCCTAGGCAGGAGGCCAAAGGCAGGGCCAGCATCTCGCAGAACCAGGGACTGGGGGCGGCCTCAGCCAGCCCCGAAAAAACCACAACACTTAATGCGACCCTACAAGCCCTGCCTACGAACCCCACGTCCTGGACCGCACAGAACATTAGAAGGCAGCCCCAGACCTCGCGAGAACTTGTTTCCCTCAGAACCCAGACCCCGGCCCAGCCTGGGAAACTCGTCTTGCGAAGCTAGGGGAGCTCCGGTCAGAGGCAGGGCTAGCGCGGGCCGGAAGGGGCCGAGGCCCGCGCTCGAGGACATCCCGGCCTTGGTTTACAACGCTGTTAGGAAAATTAACCAATGAATAAAGCCACGTTCAGTTCGCAGGGAGTGGAATTCAATGCCCACTGCTCGATTCCTCGTTGCCCCTCACTCAGCAGCCCAAACTTCTGCAGCCTCAGAAGCCCAATGGCGGCTTCACGGCAAGTGACCAAACTCATGCGCAGAAACTCTTCGCTGCTCTCTTCTCGAGGGAGGTTTCCCATGGAGCCAACGGCCAGCTTGCCGTCTGATTGGCCCAGCCAGTGGGTGTTCTTCCGCCATCTTTGCTTAGGGCATTAAGGGCGCACCTGACCGCCTTCACAGTGAGGGCGGAGGCCCCGCCCTCTCCCTGCTCGGTACGTGCTCAGTGGTTCGTGAGCGCCAAGAGTAAGTCCCGTCGGGCGCCAGCTGAGCCCGCGGAGGGCCCAGAGTGAGAGGAGGGAGGCCGAGGAGCAGCGATCACGTGGTTTTAGGGACTGTCTCCTAATTCCGCGCCTGCACTGCGGGTGTTTCAGGGGCTGGCGACCGCTCCGCCCCTCCCACCCGGCTAACGAGCCCGGCTCCCCGTGAGATAACCGCTGGCAGGACACGATCCTACAGTGATAGGAGCCCTAGGGCTGAAAACGGGGACCTCAACAGAGAGTCAACGGTATTCATTTTCCTCGTCTTTGTTGGATTATAATAAGAGCTAATTCTTAATGAGGCCTCCTGGGTACCACGTGAAAACCCCGTGCTTACCGCTTTGCGTGTCACAAAGATTAAAGGAACTAAGTGCAAAGCGTTTAGAAGAGGGCCAGGTACAAGTAAGCGCTCGGGAAATACTGGCTACTTTCATTTTTCACAGAACTGGGAACTGCAGCTCAGGGAGGCCAACAGCTAAATCAGCGGCACGACTGGGATTTGAACCCAGGTCTCCAAGGGCCACGCCTTTGCCTTGCGGATACCCGCAAAGGATTCCGAGTTTTAGTGAAGTGCACTCATTACTCACATGGGTAAACTGAGGTCCAGCCGGGGAAGGGCTTCCTTCTGTTGTAATCACTAACCCCCAAGACCCTGCATTCTGTTCTCACTTCCCTGGAGTTTTGTACCCCAACCCTGTCTCCCTTGCCTAGTTAATTCGTTGATTCAGTCAACATCCTGCCCCTGGGGGCGTACTGATCCCGTTAGATCCCAGTGGCACCTGCTGAGAGGGCACTGCAGAGTCAGGGCACCACTCACTACCCCAGCTTCATTTACCGAGCTTTCCTAAAAGGCACGGGATTTGGAACCATACTGTCTGGATTCAAATCCCGGCTTCACCACTTAGCAGCTGTGTGTTCTGGGAAAGTGACCCACCTTCTCTGTGCCTCTATGTCCTCACCTGTAAACCAGGATCCCAGGCTGGTGGGAGAGTTTAAGCCATCGAGAGTCCTTAGCCAACGCCCGGGCCGGTAGTAAGCTCAATAAATGATGATTATAATTAATCCTTGCTACCATCCCAGGGAGTGGACATTATCGCGTCCCTCATTTTACAAACGAATCAGGTGAGGCTCAGAGAAGTAGACTCTTGCCCGAGGTCACACAGCTATGAAGTGTAGCATCCCTCGATTTGAACCCGGTTTCTTTAGCTCCAAAAACTGCAGTCAGTCCTGGGAGAGGTTCGCGCCAACCGCTCAGAGATAACGCGAGGAAAACGCGAGCCCAGGAGAGGGGCTTCGGTGCGCGGGGGAATTTGCAGACGCTCCCTGCTGGCGGAGAGTGCCTGACCTGTCCTTCAGTCCCGGACCTTCGGCGGGTCCCGGCCCCGCGGACCCAAGTGCTCCTGGCGGTGGAGGCGGCAGCGGGACGAAGTGCCGGCTGCAGTGGCCCGAGCCGCGGCGGGAGAGCCATGTCGCAGCCGCAGCTGGGGGGCGCCGAGCGCGACCTCTACCGGGACACGTGGGTGCGGTACCTGGGTGAGCGCGGGGGGACCTGCGCGGCGACCCCACCCCCGCAAGGCTGGGGAAGCAGGGGTCGCCGGACGCCGGCCCAGGGCCTGGAGGAGGCGGGAGGATCCTAGTTCTCATGTTGCTTGGGCCGGAGACTAGGCTCAGAGAGGGCTAGATGCTTGCCCAAGGTCACACCACACTGGTGAAACAAGGAAGTCCCCACGGAGTAAGCGGGCCGCCCTCTCTGGCGTGCTTTCCCGGCGGCTGTGGAGTTGGGGGATCCGGACTCGCATTTCGGCCCCGCCACTCATTAGCTGCCTCTGAGCCTCAGTTTCCTCCTCGGCAAAAAGGGATGAACTCGAGGAGTCTCTCACTGGGTGGTGGTTGTAAGGGTGGAATGAGGTAAGACAGGCCGGGCCCATGGTGAGTGTCCGGTTAGTGGGGCTGCCCTTGATCAGGAAGTCTCTCTGTCACCTCATTAGTGTACATACTCCTAGGACCAGGGCTTGGAAATCTAACCAATGAGCAATGATTGATGACTCTGTGTCCAGGTCTCCCACAGTGGCCCTAGAGTCAAGGTGGGCATCCGTGGTACCAGTTTACAGCTCAGCGAGGTAAAGTCGGTTGCCTAAGGTCACCCAGCTTCTGGTTAGCAAACTAGGATTAGAGCCAGCTTACTTTAGCACCTCCTTGTGGAACACGAGCCTAGGAATGAAGGGTCCCCTCCCACTAGGCTACGCCAACGAGGTGGGGGAGGCTTTCCGTTCCCTGGTGCCGGTGGCTGTGGTGTGGCTGAGCTACGGTGTGGCCAGCTCCTACGTGCTGGCAGATGCCATTGACAAAGGCAAGAAGGCGGGAGAGGTGAGTGTCCCCCACGCCCGGCCGACTCCTCACGTGGTTCAGTCCTCAGCCTGGCATGTGATAAAGTCCCCATGGGACAGTGCTCTCCTCACCGCCTCGCCTGGTGCAGCCCATACTTCAGTCCTGTTTGTAGGATAGTGCACCCTAACCCCCATGTCTCCACCCCTAGACCTGGATGTGGCAGTCTATACCCCAGTCCTGGGCATAGAGAAGTCCACCCCCAGCCCTGAATGTGGTATAGTCCAGAGCCCCCTCTGCCCCAGCGCTCCCCTACTGGCCACTTGCCTCTCTCTGGTCCATCCTCATACCCCTTGTCATAGGATTTCCTGCCTCTGCCCCCCTGGATTAAGTGTCTCTGTGCCCACCAGGTGCCAAGCCCTGAAGCAGGCCGCAGCACCAGGGTGACTGTGGCTGTGGTGGACACCTTTGTGTGGCAGGCTCTGGCCTCTGTGGCCATCCCAGGCTTCACTATCAACCGTGTGTGTGCCGCCTCTCTCTATGTCCTGGGCACGGCCACTCGCTGGCCTCTGGCTGTCCGCAAGTGGACCACCACCGCCATTGGGCTGTTGACCATCCCTATCATTATCCACCCCATTGACAGGTAAGTGCCCTCCTGGCCTCAGGACTCATCCACCCTGCAGGTGGAACTGGGCCCTGAGAGGTGTGGGGCATGCCCAGTTTGCACAGGACAATGGCAGGCTGACACCCAGGGCTCCTGACATAGAAAAGACAGTCTGTGCCCTTGTCATGTGATCTGGCAGCTACTTTTTGACAGTAAAGGAAAAGAGGTGCCCTGAGGATATGGGACACAAGACAAGGAAATTCCCAGAAAGAAAGCCTAGCATTACTAAATAACCCAGAGGCAGGAAGGAGCAGGTGCACCCTGGAGGGGATGGCTTTGGGGAGGTGTTGGTGACAGAAGCCTAACTCAGACTAAATGGGTAAATAAAATAGGAATAAAATTCCACAGTTGTGTTCCTTTGAGGCATGGCTGGATCTAGGTGCTAATGATGTCATTAGGGCTCTGGGTCACCCATCCTACTTCCCTTCTTCCACACTACTCCTTGTTGGCTTTACCCACTTTTCCCTTGTGGGAGCAGATGGCCCCCAGCAGCTCCCAGCTTCCATCTTACCAGCTTAGCAAGCCCCATCAGAAGCTTTTTAATAGTGACAACAAAAATCCCAAGGCAGGTTGTCATTGGTCCATCCCAGACTGGGCGCCCACCCCTAAGCCAGTTTCTCATTTCTGATTGGCCAGGCTTGGGTCATGTGCCTGCTCTTAGAACTAGAGGTGGTGTCAACCCAACCAGACCAACATGGAATGCGAGGAGTGTTTCTCCCGGGGAACATAACTGATCCTGAGGCCCTGAGCGAGTCCTTTACTCTCTTTGTGCCTCAGTTTCCCCAACTGAATAAAGAAGAGAAAGATGTCTGCCATTCTGGGGGTTTGATTCTGGCTTTTCCAAGTAGCCCAAGGTGGGAGGAGTGGGTTAAGGATGAGTGTCCACCTGGGTGGCATGTGTATCCTGCATTTAGGGGTCCCTTTCCCTAGCCCTGGCCTCATGCCTCCTATTTCCTCATTGCCACCCGTTGGCTACCTGCTCACCACCCTCACCCTCCCTTCAGGTCAGTGGACTTCCTCCTGGACTCCAGCCTGCGCAAGCTCTACCCGTCGGTGGGGAAGCCCAGCTCCTCCTGATCGTGCATTGGCCTCCTGCTCATGCCAACTGCCCATTCCTGCCAGGAAAGGTGGATGCCTGGCTCCCCGACTCCAAGACCCTGGCACCCAAGTTCAAGCCGATGGAAGCCCAGAAACAAATACCTCAAGGAGCAGTGGCTGCAGCGAGTCCGAGACAGAGGCAGGACCTGAACCTCGACGGCTTCCCCGGAATCCATGATACTGAACGGGAGAGGACTCTGGGTGGGCCTGGCTCTGTCTTTTGACAGGAAAGTCACATCCTCCCATGGAGGTGAGGAGACTGAGGCCCAGAGAGGGCAAGGAGCATGCCCAGGGTCGCTTGGCAAGCTGGGCACCCGGAGTCACCCCATGGCGGCGCAGCTGGACGAGGAGCAGACTCTCAGGGAGAAACGCAGGAGTGCAGTCGCCGGGACACCTCAGGGCACATTCTCTGGCCAGTTCCGTCCCTGGTGCAGGGGCTGCTGAGGCCTGGCCAGAGGTCCCTCCCCTGCACCCAATAAATCCTCAAGAAGTTGAGTTTTGTCTCCTTTTCTGTTGGGGATAAGCAGGGGTGCGGTGGTGTGGAGCGGGGCTGACTTCTGCCGTGTGTCATTCAGAGTGGCCTCCCTGCCCAGCAGTGCTCTCCTGCAGGTGCCTGGGGTTCCACCATGGGTGCCGCCAACTCCCTTTGGGATAAGCATTGCCCTCTTTCTACAAGCCCCCTAAAGCAGCAACCCCTGTGGGAGGGGAGCCTGTTGGCAGACACCACCTGAGCCTGAAGGTGCCCGAGATGTTGATGACAGCCGCCATATGAGTATCGCATGAGACCACCCCCATGAAGGGACTCAGGAGTCCAGAGAGGAGAAAGTGACTAGGGGGCTGCCCCCCACCTCCACCCCCGGAGGAGGGAATGACTGCCCTGAGCTGCTGGGCCTGGAGTGCTAAAGGGGCCATTCCTCCCAGGTCCTCGGCCAGTGCCTTTTTGGCAGCGACAGTTCAAAGAGGTAGAGAGGTGGGGCACATAGAGCTGAAGCAGACCTAGGTCCTCTCCTCAGCCCTGCCCCAAGCTACAGGTCAGGTCCAGCCCAGACCCTGCCCCGCCCTCCACCCCTGCCAGTCCAGGTGCAGCCAGGTGGACCAGCCCTGCCCTGGTGGGACCGCCTGCACCTGGGCTGGGACTTAAAGGGGCAGTAAGGCCAGGTGGGGGTGCTGGGGTGGTGGCTCCAGCTCTGGGGGTATCTACAGCTGCAGGGTTAGTCTGAACCGCCTCTCCTGGAGCTAGGGGTCCCTGAGGCGTGGGGTGGGCTTTTCTCTGCCACCCTTCTGACCCCACACTATCAATGTCCCTGTCCCATTTTCCTGCCCTCCTTCCCAGCTCCAAGCACTCCTCCTCTAGCCCACCCGGTACCTGGGCTGGCACCCCACATCCTTCTTCAGCTCAGCGTTCTCGCAGCCCACCCCCTCCACCTCACCCCACAGTCACAGCCCGAGGCCCGGCTACATCCACCCTTGCATGCCCGTGACTTCTGCTTCGTTCGCTCTCCACCTTCCACCGCCCATGCTCTCCCTAAAGCCAGGAGCTACCCGGGCCGGGTTCCCACTTTGTGCTCATGGGCTCAGCCTAAGCTCTCAGCCCTGCCCCTGCCTGTTTTCCCATCACCCCATCCTGTGCCTGTGCCCCTCCCCCGCCCCCCAATGTACCGCTGCTGCCCAGTGCAAATCCTCTTCCTCTTGGCCAGCTCTGAGCATCCTTCAGAACCAGCGCCAACGCCCCTTCTGTTGTTGCCTCCTCACTGTGCCCTACTGTGGGCCCCTTCTGCCCTTGGTGGCCCTGCTGGTGGCCCTGTCTTGTAAGGAACTAATGGGGTGCAAGTTTTAGACACCTGGCACATAGGTGTGCACCCGAGGGGCTTTTGGGCATTCTGAGGCCAGGCTGGTGGGGATGAGGTCTGTGGACATCCTGTCTGTAGGGACCAAGACCCACTCCTGCTCCGTTCTGGAGACGCAGGCAGTGGAAGGTGGGGGCATGTCGGGGAAGCTTCTGGGCAGGGTCTGTGGACCATGTTCTCACTAAGGCTGTTGTCTGTCCCAGCCAGAGTGGGCCGGACTGCCAGGGGACAGCCTCCTGCAGGAATGCCATCAGACAGATGTCTTCCTGGCAGTGAGGAAGGAGCCCCAGGTGGGGGCCCGCCACCTGCACCTTGGCACCTGCCCACCCTCCCTGGTCCCTGTCATGCCCGGCTACATGGTCTTTGCTGCCCCATTCAAGGCTTGTGGCTTTGCCTGGCTGGGGAGGGGGCAGCTGAGGCTCAGGAAGACAAGGCTGCCCAGAGCCTGGGGCAGAGTTGGGGTTTCTGGTCTGGAGAGGGCTAGAATCAGATCATAACGCCTTGCTCTGTGGCCTTGGGCAAGTCACAGCCTCTCTGGGCCTCAGTGTCTTTCTCTAAAGGCTGCAGAGGCCTGGATTGCCACGGAATTTGGTGGCCAAGGGCATGATGCAGGCTTGCCGTTCATTGTCTGTGTGTTTTATGATACGTGCCTTTCACCTGTGTTTATTTCGTGCTTCCTCATGGGGAGGGGAAACTATCATTCCCATTTTCCGAATGAAGAAACTGAGTCGGCCACCGGGTGCAACTTAGTACAACGTTCTCCAAAGCAGAATAGGCGTCTAAGCAAGGAAGGGACCTTGAACAAGACCTAGACAGGAAACTGAGGCCCAGAGAGGGCAAGTGACTTCAAGGCCAAGCTGGGGAGATACCTGTCCTGACTTCTTCTGCCATCATAAGGAGGTGCCCCTGCAGATCTCAGGAAAGATGGTGGAGTTCTTTGCTGACCTGGCCTATGCATCCCCACCTGGAATATCCAAGCAGCCGCCGATTGCTGCCTTCTGCCAGTGAGTCAGCTGTGCGGCCAAGGGGTGAGCACTGCCTAGTGCCCCTTAGCCTGTCCGGGGCCCTGAGACCTGGAGGTCCACAGGAAAAGGAAGGGTAGGCTGGGTGGGGGCTGCCCCTCTAATGAGCAGGCACCAAGCATGGACTGCATGGGCCCCTCCGTGGTGTGAGCCCGGGGCAGGCCTGGGCGTGCTAGCCTGGGAATCTGAATTTGGAATTCCTGGATTCTCCTGGCCCTTTCTCTCCCACCCTTTCCTCTGCATGGGCTGCCCTGGGGGCTTGTTGTGGGCCTTCAGTGTTTATTTTCCGGGACTCCTCACATGCCAGACTCTCAGTGTCCCCCTCTCGCTTCCCTGCGAGCCTGGAAGCCCCCACCTCACCTCCCGCCTCCTCAGTTACCTCTGGCTGGGGTTGGACATCTGGACTTCAGCGTGAGACTTTGGCCTGGTTCTTCCTGTCTTGCAGGTGGGGGACATGGGCTGGGCCAAGGCAGTGTCCCAAGGGGAAGGGCTCCTGGCTCAGGGGCTCCTATGCCTCCAATTCTGGGCAAGGCTGCCCCTGCAGAGAACAGGGAGGGCCAGGTGGTGAGATGTAAAGGGCACTGGGTTTTGGGCCACCTCCCGCCGGCTTTGTCTCTTCCCTCCTGCTGTGTGGTCTTGGGCAAGCCCTTTGGTGTCTCTGGGCCTCCTGTCTTCCCCATGTGGTTTTCATTGCAGCCCAGCATGAGGCCAACACCAGCTCCCTTTTCCTGGGCTCTGAGCTCCAAGTGGAATTTGCCGTGGTTGGCAGCTCCCATCAGCCCCTACAGCTGTACGTGGACGAGTGTGTGACTAGCCCCAGCTGGGATCTGGAAGTGGCCCCCGTGCATACAGCCTTGTCATGAATCATGGGTACTGGACCAGGGAGGAGGACAGGGTGGGATGGGAAATCACTATGTCCTGGCGTGAGAGGATGGGGGAGAGCCCTGCTGGGATTGGGGGCAGGGAGAGGAGATGTCTTTTCCCACCCCTAGGCTTGGTGTCCCCCGAAAGACCATCTTCACGCAATGCTCAGTATCACCACAAGGGGGAAGCACCTCCCAACATGCACATGTTGACTGGTTCAAACTGGTTATCCATACTACCTGTTGGTGAACTACTCGTAGTGTCTGCCTGGTCCTGTCCTAAGCACGTCATGTGATGTGGCTCATTTAATCTTTACAGCCTCGTTATGAGATGGGTTTGGTTAGGTCCCTGTTGCCTGAAGTTGGAGTCACTGGCCCAAGCTCACGCCACCCCTCTGCCTCCCGCCACCTCCCCCAGCCCAGGACTGCTTCCATGCCTCCCGCCTTCCAGCCCGTGACCCTCTACACAGTCTGGGGCAGAGCTGACTCACAGGCTGCGTGACCTTGGGCAAGTTACCCAGCCTCTCTGAGCCTTGGTTTCCTCCCTGTACAATCCTCTCTCAGCCTTGGTTTCCTTGCTGTACAATTCTCTTTAATGACCTGAAACTGGTGTGAGGATTAGAGGAGAAATGGCTCACAAAGCATCAGGCCAGGGTGGTGCTCACAGTGGGCACTCCGCAAATATTGGCCATTATTATTGTGGCAAAGACATCTACTTCTAGGGCACATGATTGAGCTGTTCCATCTGATGACTAACCCGGGTAGAAAGCATGCCGATGACATGGCTCGGGGATTCCACTTGTAAGAATGTATTCAAGGCAATAATCGGACGATCGTCCAGAGATGCGCATCTGAGGGTGACAGTGGTGATCTTACTTGTACGAACTAAAAGCTCCGGAACTCCTTAAACACCCATTGCATGAAGGAATGTTCTTCTGATACGATCATACTGGTGGCTGAGTTTCCCCAAGTCCCTCCTCTGTCCTGATACCTTCCATGGCTGTCGATGGCCACCAGGATCCAGTCTGAACACCCCAGCCTGGCATTCAGAGCCCCCAGCCCTCGGCGGTCTCATCTCTCACCACGCACACCCCTGCATCCATGTTCTTGCCTCCCCCGACGCCTGCCATTCTCTGGATGTGCCCTGCACGTCCTGCCTCCGCGCTTTTGCTCGGGCCGTGCCATCTGCCAGGAATGGCCTCCCCGCCCCCCTCTTTTCCCAGCCTTCAAGGTCCAGCTCCAAAGGCACCTGCTCCATGAACCCTCCTCCACTCCTTCCCCGAGACAGAATTCTCTTGCCCTGCGGTACCTCCCTCATGCGCTCATCCCTCCCCTGGACAGGAGTTATCAAGTGACACCCACAGAGAACAGGGATGGAGCCCGGCATGCTAAGCATTGCATCCTGTGATCTCCATAACAACCCTGTGCGTAGCTGCCGCCCTTATCACCTTCCCACAGGTGAGAAAATTCAGTTCACGGCGTGGTCAGCCATCATCAGCATTAACTCTTATCGCCTTAGGAAATCCGATGTGAGTGAAGAGGATTTTGAAGCCTTTTCTAAAATCAGGAGGCGTTGCAGACAGGTGGTGGGGAGGTGTCGCAGTTGGAGAATGTGGAAGCATTTGGCCTGGGCCCAGCTCAGCTGTGCCCTAAGCTCACCTGCGGGCTGCAGGTGAGGCTTGTCCCTTCCTGAGCCTCCTCTGGGCCCATTTAAGGAGGCCCGTGGGTGGTGGGCAATGTTTCTTTTCACTGTGGCCACCCTGGGGGACTTCTGCTAATTGCTCTAGTCTTGCTGCTTGCTAAGGTCTGGGAAATGGAGCTCCCTTAGGAGGTGGGGTGTTGGAGTGGGGGTCTTCCTCCTGCCCTCTCTGCCCCTCACTCAGCACCCTCCTGCCAGCTGTGCACCTGGTGAGTCCCTTGAGGCTAGCCACCAACCTGTGTCTGGGCGTGAGGCGCTGGTCTTGGCACCCTGGGAATGTGAGCAGGAGGAGACCTCTTTCCTTATGGCCTATGAGTCACCCTTTGGAGTGCCCTCTGACACACGGCCCCACCTCCCAATACTCCCGGCCCTGGGGTCCCTCGCTTCGTCCTCCGCTGTGAGCTGAGGCCACCAGGACCCTGGGTCACCCATTTCTCTCCCCAACCCTCACACTGCGTCTGGAGAGACTTTGGGGCTTGTCCCAGGCTAAGCAGGTCCCTCCAGAGTCCAGGCAATCCTGCTTCCTGAGGCCAGGGCTCCCCGGCCAGGCCAAACTCCAGGGGCAGGGGCACACCCCAACCTGCTCCTCTGGCCTCTTGGGCAGACCCTGACCCTGACTCTGACCCTAACCCTGACCCTGACCCTAGCCCCAGTCCTGGCCCAGACCCTGACCCTAACTCTAACTCTAGAAAGGAAAGGGAGGCCGGACCCCCTGAGTGTTTCCCAATTTGGCAAATAAAAATAGAAGATGCCAAGTAAAACTCGAATTTCAGATAAGCAGTGAATTTTTCAGTATAAACATGTCCCAAATATTGCATGGGATATACTTCCACTAAATTTCTTTCTTTTCTTTGTTTGAGATGGGGTCTCACTCTGTTGGCCAGTGGGGTCATCATAGCTCACTGCAGCCTCCAACTCCTGGGCTCAAGCGATTCTCCTGCCTCAGCCTCCTGAGTAGCTGGAACTACAGGAATGTGCCACCACACCTGCCTTAAGAGCTTTTTAAAATGTTACTCGTTAATTCCTATTTATAACAGAATAGAAAGTAAAAATTCTGAAACCCAGTGAGTCACCCATACTTAGGCATTTGCTAAGTGAATGTTTTATAAGACAGGATTATTTGTGCCATTATAGAACATGCTCATTCCCTGATCGAATCAAGCACATTTCTACGCCTAGGCGAAGGCATCCTCGTTTCTTCTATGAGAGTTAATGTCTACACCGAATTCCACGGTCTGCCCAAGTTGTACCCTAACCAGTGCCCTATGGCAGAAGCTCCCCAAGGGTTCCAATCCGTCCCTGTCGTAAACCCGTGCTGTGGTGAGGAAGTACTCACAGGGGAGGGAGAGTCAGGTGGAGAACTGTCTCTCCTCTAAGGGCCTGTTACGGGCTGGGGTTGTGACAGTCACGGGCTGGCCTGTCGTCCCCCTGTGGTGCTCAGATGATGGGGAATAAATGAGGCACAATGTAGTTCGACATGGGAGGGCGGTGTGGGGGCCATGGGAGCCCCTTCACCCAGGGCTGGGTGTCCCAAGTTCTTCCTCGGTCCCTCCTTCCTCCCGGGTTTATACCATCTGCTGGGTGGGCATCAGGAATGGGACAAGACCCTTCGAGCCTGGCCAGAAATCCTGTTTTTATACCACTTCCTCGACAGGTGAGCCTTCCCTGTTTCAATTAGTGAGGCTTTGGGAAAATTCCTTCCACTTTATGGTCCTGAAAGCCATGATGTGTGGGCCCTGCTGGTTTGAGGCCTGGGTTCTGCTCTGGGGGCCTTTGGCTTGTGTGGGCAGATGGACGTCACTGCACCCACCATGGGAGCGGGCTCTCAGCTGGGACGAGGGGGACAAGGTGAGTCAGAGGCAGGGGACCATGAGGAGATCGTGGCTTGGGCGGGGTCAGCTGTGGGCTGGCTGGTGACCTTGAGCCTCTCTGTCCTGCGGATACTGTGAGAAGGAAGCTCGGTGGCAGGTCCCATGACAGGTGCTCTGATACCTCGTTTCCTGCCCCTCTTACCAAAAGCATAGTAAAACAATATATAACCATCGTAGAAAACTCAGCTACTTCCCCAAGATATAATCCTACCACCCAGACAATTGCTAACTAACATCTTAGTGTGGCCATATCCAGGTGGATTTCGCTATATATTCACATTAACATAATGGTATGGTGTTGGTAATATTCTATAACTCGCTTTTATGGTACCGCATAGACAGCTCTGTAGGCGAGATACCTCTTTTATTAATACATTTATGATGGCATTAATATTCCATGGAATGGAGGTAGGAGAATTTAGCCAGTCTTGTGCTGATGGTTATCTGTGTTCTTCAGCCTTCTCTTAAGCCCTGCTAGGTGACACCTTGCTGCCCTGGCCCCTCTTAGCAGATGAACCCAGGCCTGGGCTCTGGGTCTTTGCCAGGGGCTGGGCGGGATGTTGTCCTCATTCCAAGCACAGAAGAGAGGAGACCCTGGAGCTAACAGCTCCCCCCGCCCCGACAGAGTTCCCCTGGGGAAGGGGACACTTATACGGTGGTGGCCGTGGTGCTGCCGAAAGTCAAGAAGCTGCCAGCGTCATGGTTTAAACGTGAGTGCAGGGGCTGGGTTGGGAGTGGCAGCCTAGGCCCTATGAGGACTGGCCCCTCCTCTGCCTACGGCTGTCCAGGTTCATGAATAGTCATTCTTGGTCCTGTCCCCTGCCCTTTGTTGTCCCAGCCACACCCTTGCTTCCTCGGGCACTCCTGGCTTTTCTTTCCCTGCCTCGGTGAACAACTCTAGCTGTCCCGCACAGCCTGCCCCCCACGTCCGGGCAGTCCTGGAGAGGCTACTCCTGGCCCCTCCTCCCCCACCTTTTGCAAGACACCAAAGGACCTGCTGGTGGCCACACTGGCCTGCACCAGTGTCACAGTGCTGCTGCCCCTGAGGAAGGTGCTCCAGGTCTTCCAGCCATGCTGCCCTCTCTGCAGCTTGGGGAGCACCTGGGGTGATGCCCCACCAGCCCAGAGGCCCAGGAGACGGGGCTGGAACCTTGGGCAGCAGAGTGACCCTCCTCTTCTGAGAAGGAGATCAGTGGGACATCCCAGTCTGCTTTGCAGGAAGACGAGGAGGCAGCGGCCCCTTCAAGAGATACATACGTACAGCAATTTTCTATTTTTCTAGTGGGCTTGTCTTGCCTTAACTTTCTGGGGCACTTGTGTTTGTTGGTACTATGTGTTGGCGGAAAACCTGACCTCTCAAGTGCATGACACGAATGTGGACTCTGATGAGGCCGATGTAGCAGGGGGTCTGGGGGGAAGGAGTAAGATGCAGGGGTGGGGGTCTAATTAGCACCAGCATAGAGTTGCCCACAGGTCGCCCTGGCCTGAGCTCTGCATGGTAGGGGGCTGGGCCTTTCAGCTTCAGCTGCCAAATTTGACCCCGCTTATGGGAAATAGCCCACGGCTACCATCTTTGGCCCCCCCCAAGTGCAGTGGGGGTGAAGAGGTAGGTAGGTAGGAGCTAAGGTAGACAGCCTTAGCTCCAGTCCTATTTCTACCACCTGTGGGCCAAAGGAACAAGGCACCAGCCTTTGAGAGCTTCGGTTCCCCATCTATAAGGTGGAGATCAGGTCCTGTGCCCACAAGCGAATGCGGGACAGTGCTTGCAGCCGCTTACTCAGAGTCAGACCTCCTGGTCCACCCACGTGTGAGCTCGGCCCTCAGCTCGTTAGTTTCCATGGTGTCCTCGTGGCACCAGCCAAGTCCTTTGCTTCCCACCCATCTCCATTCCCTAGTGTGATCTGGCACCTCCTGGTGAGAATTGTGCCAGGGCCTAGGGCTCAAGCCAGTGTCTCCGTGTCCCTGAATCAGAGCAGAAAATTGGGGAGGAAACTGGGGAGTCCTCGCCTTTCCCCAAGTCACCCAGGGTTGTGGTGGGTGTCAGGGGGCTTCACAGAAGCCATGTGAGCAGTGGACAGGAATGCCAGGCTTAGAAGCACAAGCCCTGCCCCACTATGCGAATTTCCTTGGACAAGATGCTTAAGAATGGTGGGTCTCCACGGCTCCAGCTGCTCCTCTACCCACAAACAGGGATCAGAGACGGTGACACCCTGGCCATTTCTACTGCGGTCTTAGGAGGTGGTATTGTAGGGCAATTAAGAGCAATGGCTTTTTTTTTTTTTTTACATCTCACTATCATTTACATTGTGGTTTTAAGGAGCCTTTGGAGTCCTTTGGAGTAAACAAACAGACAAATAAAACAACCCCCCCACACCCCATAAACTCCTAGGTCCTGGATCTGCCACCTAAGCTATATGATGTTGGGTGAATGGCTTCACCTCTCTCAGCCTCAGTTCTTTTATCTGTAAAGTAGCCATGGTAAGTGGCCTTGGGTCCGGCACGAGAATGAAATGAGCTAAGCTCATAAAGCACCTGGCATGGTTTCTGGTACATAGAGAGCACTCACCAAATGATAGCTGGGATTTTTTTTTTATTATTATGCCAGCGGAATCTAGAGCCAGATGTGACTTCCTTTACTTCCAGGAAAGTTCCTTTAATTATTTAAAACATAAGCGATGAGCTCCAAGGGAAGGGGGTGCAGGTGGGGGTGATAGAGGTGGCGACCTGAGCGCTATGGGTCACATAAAGCCAGGTGTAGGCATCTCCTGTGAGAGGCACGTGGTCTTCGTGGCTGGGGCCCCCAAGAGGCAGCCAGTGCCAGAAATCTGGAGGCTGGATGGCCTGGTTCTCCCAGAGAGTCCTTCCCTGCCATGCCTCTGCCCCTGTCCAAGGTGCTGAAATCCACCCCACGCTGGCTGCTGCTCCTCACGCACACCCATGGATCACCTGCTCCCTACCTTCTGGTCCTCCAGCTCCACAAGTACACACCGAGCATCAACTATATAGAGAGTGGAAGTAAAAAGGATGTAGATATGTCTCCAACCCAAGTTGCTCATAGCTCATAGGGAAGGAATTCAAGCACATGCAAAAACCTTAGGATAGGTGAGGACCAAGGCTCAGGGATTCATTTTCCTATTTCTTGAATTCCAGTGACATCCACCTCTTGTCTTTACCCTTGATTCTTTCTCTTCTGTAACTTTTCTACCCTCCAAGGCCGTGCCTCTCATGCCTTTCCTGATCTGACCACAGCGGATGAGTCTTCCCCAGGGCAGCTATTTCTGTACTTGTTAACATCACAGAGACAGAAGAACTAATGATCAATTTGTGGCGGGGGGGCGAGTAGGATATATAGAGAAAGCAGAAGATCAGGGGTCTCTGAGAAGGGAGGGAACCACCTAGACAGGGGTGAGCTCCTCGTCATATTTCTGCATGCCCTCGTCCGGGAGCAGCACTTCCACTGTGAAGCTGACCTTCTTGGCGTGGACGAAGCTATAGGTGTTGTCGAAGCGCAGGACATCTGGTGGACAGATGGAAAGATGGACAGTTGGGCCTGGCTTCCCACTGTCTGCATCCCTGTCCCAGCCACGGAGGAGGTCGGGCTTATGTTCCCACCGGCTTTGTTTGCCAAGCTGGGCCAAGTTCCCACCACACCTTTTCCCTTCCCCGTGGGAACTGCCACCTGCCACCCCTGAGCAGGCCTGTAAACAGACACCGACCTCCTTCTGGCATGTGCCCAGGTCTGGCTTTAGTGGCACCAACTGGCAATGAGAACAATGGCCATCGCATCCCATTGTCCCCACACCTGGGCACTCACGTGAAGGTGGGGTGAAGGGGGATGGCTGGGGACATCAGAGGCCTCCCAGCCTCCCTGGATGATGTGGGGTTCTGGGCCAGGCCCGCTGCACAACCGTTCCTTCCCTATAACCATCCCAAGAGGCAGCGGTTGTCACCCCTAGTTCACAGGTGAGCGAACCAAGGGTCCTTCCTGGATTGGTCAGACTTTGCCCAGGGTCACACAGCTACCCCTGTTGCCACACTCAGCTTTGGGGCTTTGTACTGGCTTCTCAGAGTCCCAGTTTCCTCATGAGGAAGGCTACACCTGCTCCATCATCCCTTGCCTGTATCCTGTGTCCTGCGGCCCAAGTGCCCTCAACACCTCTGGGGCCTGTGTGTCTCTTGCTCTTGGCACACAGTAGGTGCTCATGACTGTGGACTCAGTGAGCGACTTTGTGAATGAATGGCCCTAATCTAGGCTGTGTGTCTCTGGATGAGGGGTTGTCACTGCCCCTCTGGTTCCTTCCCTAAACTGTGGGACAGGTGGCTCCAGCCTTCCAGAGCCAGGGCCCAGCCGGGGCAGACTTACAGACGCCAGTTTCCAAGCAGGTGAGGCTCCCGTCCTCGGGCACCATGTGGGCGTTGTAGCGCTGGCTGGGCAGCACCTCCGTCATCTCCCCAGCCCTCTGCCGCTCCCCCATCTTGGTCTTCAGGAAAACCCCAAAGCCGATGTCTGCACCATCAGATGAGAACTGCCACCTGCGAGAGGAAGAGGGGATGGGTTGCTGCTCAGCTTGATGGGTCCCTCAGGGGTTAGGGCCCAGCCAAGGGTGGGACAGTGGCCTGTCCCTACCTGAGGACACAGCCCGGAAACAGGATCTCGTATTCCACTTGGTGCGAGGAGCCGCGGTTGATCTGCACTGAGTGTTCGTACTGTGTCTTCACCTGGTCCCGCACGTACATGGACTTGGGGATCTCCCCACCGTAGTTGATCTGCAGACATTGGATGGGATGGGTTTGCCCCCCTCTCCTGGCCATCGTCTGTGTTTCTCCTACCTCAGACATCTTCATCATCTCCTGGAAGTATCCTGCTCATCCTGTTCCCATCCCCACCCCACCTCAAGCTGTCTTTGACCATGCGGGCTGGGCCGGGGCTTCCTCTGGAGTGTCCCCTCCCAGCACCTCCCCCAGGTCAATATTCCCTCATTTGTAGTTTGCCTTCACAGCTGCTGAGAGCTCACAAGGTCTCTCTACAGATATTTGCAGAATGAATGAATGGGCAGGTGGGTGGGAAGGGAACCAGCTTGACTCTAACCTCCCCTGTCCTGGGGAGGATTCTTCATACCTTGGTTAAACATTTGGGGTTCCCATCTGGGTCAGTCAGGGTCCCCCCAAACTGGGCAGGCAGTTCCTCAGGACTGATGAGTTTCAGCAAACCTTCCTTCCAGTTATCTGGGAGCAGGGGGATTGAAGAGCGGTTGTCAAGCCTGGACCAATCAAAACACCAGGGTGACCTGAACGTGGGGAGAAGCCCTATAGGAGCTAGGCTGCCAGGGCCAATTCCCCAGCCTCCCAGGCCTCGGGCTATAGGAATCGTCTTTCTCAATATTGTGTTGCTGTGGAAATACATTTCCCCTTGGCTGACAGGTTTGCACAATCTTGAAGGTCCCCTAGTTATGAGTAGTAAAGCCAAGAGCCATTTAATTGTTTCAAGAAGTATATAAAGCCCAGTGAGGTTAAGGACTTTGTTGGGGTCACTCAGTGAGTAAGTGGCATACCCCAGTCAGACCTCTTGGTGGAGGATGGACAGCACTGGGCCTTTGGAGAGACCATCCCCGCCCTCCCTGCTTAATCACCATGACCGTAATGCCCATGACTATGGGCCCCTGAAACCAGGCTACCTCATAAGCCACCAAGCTCCCTATCCCACTGGAACTGTGTAGAGACAGAGTCTAGGGTATCAAGAAGGGAAAGAAAGAAAGAATTTGTAAAACACACCCCCACCCCCTGCCCCTATCCCAGATCCTTAATTCTCCGGACTCTGATTTGACTAATCTACTTGGGAGAAATTTTCCTTAAAGCCCAAGGTCATTGGTTTGGGTTTAAGAACTATTTCCCTTCTTTCTCTCTTTCTCTCGCTGTCACTTTCAAATACAACTATTTTTCCTACTTATAAAATGAATACACATTGTTATACAAAGTTAAGAAACTATAGAAGAATATAAATAATGGAAGGAAAAACCATATGATTTCTCACCATTGACAAATTAATATTTTGATGTATTTCCTTCCAAAAGTACATAGTTTTTATAAAAATAAAATTATACTGTCCACAGCACTTTGTAATCTACTTTTTTTTTACTTAGTGACATTTTCCCATGACATTAAATATTCACTCACAGCATCATTTTTTCATGGCTGCCTATAAACCATCAAATGGATGCACTGTGATTTACTTATCCAGCCCTATCCTATTGGGCCTCCCTTCTCTGATTCGTGGCTACTCTTCCTGTTCTTCCTCCTCACCCTCCTCAGCCCAGGTTACCTTTAGAAGCACTGGGGTTGTGAGTGTTAAGAGGAAACTGAGGCCCATAGACCAGACATTGACGAGCAGCCATAGTGAAACTGACGAGGTAGGTGTGGAGCCCTTATTCCCCAAAGGGCTATGACAGGGAATAACGTATAGGTAACTGATAGACTCCAAGGTAAGACCCACCTCACTTTCGGAAAGTAGGAGCCTCTTATTCTAGGTGATGTGTGGAGTTCGGGGCTGGGCAATGGGCCAACCTCACTTCAAAGATCATGTAGGGAATGAAGCTGGAACTACTTACTTCCCAACACTACTATTTTCCTGCGAGTGTCCTCACTCAGGAATGGTTTCATGAGGTTGTAGCCCACAGGGAACAGTTTGGTGGCTGGAGAGATACAAGTAAGGATAATGGGAAGAAAAGAATGTCATCAGGCCACTCCCCATAATGGTTATGGCCAATGATCTAGAGGAGTCATGAATAATCCTGGCTAGTTCCAATGTTCTGCACCCAACAAAACATCCAACCAACAAGTCAAGCAGCCAAAAGCTAGCCAACTAACCAATCGTGCAATTAATCATCCAATCCGTCAACCACCCACCCACCCAACAAGCCAGCTAGCCAGTCAAACTTCTAATCTGCCACCAATTCATTCAACCAATAACCAGCCAACCTACCAAACAGCCAACCAGCTAGTCAATAAGCCAGTCAACCTGCCAACAAATAATCAACTACTTCAGTTTACCTTCTACCCAGCTAACCTACTGAATGAACAGTGAATCACCAAGCAAATAAACCAACAGTAAACCAATCAGCCATCTGAACAGCCAGACAACCACCCAACCGTTGCCCTCTCCAGCCAGCCAACCATCCAAATAACCAGCCAGCCAACCATCCAAGATTCAGCCAAACAACAAACCAGCCAGGCAACTAACCAGCCTGCCAACCAGCCACCCAAACAATCAACCAAAATGCCAACCAGCCACTCAATCAGCCAACAAAGCTAACAACTAGGCAACCAACCAGCCAGCGAACCATCTAAGATTCAGCCAAACAAAAAACCAGCCAGGAAACTAACCAACCTTCCAACCAACCACCCAATCAGTCAACAATGCCAACAACTAGCCAACCAACCAGCCAGCCAACTCTCCAACCAACCACCAGTCAGTCAACTAGACAGGCAACCAACAGGCCAGTCAATTGAACAACCAACCAACCAATCAATTGACCAACCAACCAACCAATGAGCCAACCATAAAACATGCATCCATTCTTCCATCTAACCACCATTTACCCAAACAACAACCACCCAAATACCTATTGAGCACCTACCATGGCCCCAGGGCCGTGAGGGATACAACAGAAGTGGAGAATCAGATCCCCTGAACGAACATATATAAGGCAACTAGAGGGCCCCAGAAGACAGCAAACAGGAAAGGAAAGATTGGGCTGTACCAGCAGCCAGTGCCAGAGGCAGTCTGAGGAGGGAGAGATCATCGTGACAGGAGAAATGAGGGCGGATTCCTGGAACAGCTGGGTGGGAGCTGCCTCCTCTTGCAGTGAGGCCAACCATAGAAGTTACCATTTATTGAGAACTTACTCTGTGCCAAGCATGCTAAGTGATACACATGTAGCCAAACAACCAACCTGTCTCCCAACAACCCTGGGACAAAGACACTGTTACCATCCTTGGAGGGCAGATGAGGAAACTGAGGCACAGGTAAGTGAGGTCACTTGCCACACACCTTTTATGATGAGCATGAACTTCAGAGTCTCTGGGTAATTCTCTTCAAGGAGGCCAAAGAACTGTGCAACCGAGAAAGACCCCATCAGAGCCCACACCTCTTCTTCTCCTACCTCCACCTCCTTTGCAATCCCATCTGGAGGTTACAGAGGCTGTGCAGGTTTTTTGTCTTGCCGTCACCTCCACTGGCCCCTGGAGGAGACCTTCTTACCTCAAACTATTATAACCACATTCTAATAATAAATACATAGTAATCATTTTTTGAGTAAATGTTATAGTAATGATAGTATAATAGTAATGACTACTGTTTATTAAATGTTAACTATTTGCCAAGCAGTGTGTATACACTTTACACAACTCATTGAAGTATCCGTACGTCGCTAGTCCCATGTTGCAGGTGAGGAAACTAAAGCATGGAGAGGTGAAGTGACTTTCCTGAGTCACAGAGCCAGGGGTGACAGGCCTGAGAAGGGTTTGGCAGAAGCTGGCCCCCGTGGTCTCAGCATAGGTCATTCCTGAGGCCTCTTATGTGGGATCTTCTAGGAAACATATTAAGGCCCTTTGGGTCTGGAGGCCCAGGGAATTGTTTTTACTAAATCTTGGATCCAAGTGAGCAGAGGCATCACAGTAGGCCAAGCTGGTTCTCAATGCAAATGGCAGGTGCCCATGGGACTTCTCCTTACCTCCTGGTACACTTCCACCAGAGGTTTCCAGAAGTGCTTCAGTCCCAGGCCCTCACAGTCAAATATCATCACGATGGTCTCAATCTTCTTCCCCAGCTGCAAGGATGAGAGCAAGGAGTGTGTCCAGGGTTCAGGAGGCAGGCTTGGGAGAAGGTGAGCCAAGTACATGACCCCTCAGGGCTCCTTCCAGCTCCCATTCCTGTCTGTCCACAGAGGAGCAAGTGGGAAAAACAGTGAATGCATTTCTCCATCCGTCCATCTATTCATCCATCTATCCATCCATTCATCCATCCATTCATCTACCCATTCATCCATCTATTCACCCATCTATCCATCCAGCCATCCATCTATTCATCCATCTATCCATCCATTCATCTATCCATTCATCTACCCATCCATCCATCTATTCACCCATCTATCCATCCATTCATCCATTCATCCATCCACTCATCCATCCATCCATCTATTCATCCATCTATCCATCCATTCATCTATCCATTCATCTACCCATCCATCCATCCATCCATCCACCCATCTATTCGTCCATCTATCTATCCATTCACCCATTCATCCAGCCACTCATTTCTCCACCCATCCATCTACCCCCTTATACATCAGTATATGGTGCAGTGGCATGATCATTGCTCACTGCAACCTTGAATTCCTGGGCTCAAGTGATCCTCCTGCCCCAGCCTCCCAAACAGCCAGGACTACAGGCACATGCCACCGCACTCGGCTAATTTTTTCTATTTTTACTTGCCCAGCTAATTTTTTTCTATTTTTAGTAGGGACGGGGTCTCACTATGTTGCTCAGACTGGTCTAGAACTCCTGAGCTCAAGCAATCCTCCCACCTCAGCCTCCCAGAGTACTAGGATCACAGGCGTGAGCCACCATGCCTGGCCAACATTAGCTACCATTGTTGAGAAATATGTATCAGGCCCTGTGTGGTAAGCCACACACTCGCATTATCTCATTTAATCTCTGCAACCGTTATTTATTATCACCCCTGTTTTGTAGGTGAGGAAACAGGCTCAGAGAGGTGAGGTGACTTTCCAAGTCCACAGAGCTGGTAAGTAGCAGAGCTGGTGTTTGACCTGAGAGCCCTCTGACTGGGGTAGTGGTGAGCACAGGTGTGTTCTGGGACCGTGCTCCCTGGCAGCCTCACCTGCCCCCAGCCGCCCGCCCCACAAGGCCTGGGCCTCACCCTCTCTGTCTGCAGGTCACACTCATGCAAGATGCGCTCGCAGTCCCTCATCTTGGTTTTGAGCAGGTCCTGCTTGGTGATGGAGAAGAGCAGCCCTTTGGGGTCAAGCGGCCCAATGATGTCATACCACACGGGGCAGCCATCACGGTCATAGCCGCACAGGCCCCCAGGCATATATTTCTGAATCACCTGGGCATGGAAATATACACAGAACATGGCATTACACACCTCCCCAGCAACCCCAGACCAGGCTGGCCTGGGGGGCCCCAGCTTATAGTACCATGGTAGAAAGCATTGTCCCTCCCCTGTAGGGCAGTGCCATGTCCTAAACGGGAAAACAGCGGGTCCTGCAGGGGAGGGCCTTGCTTACAGTGGTAAGTGGCAAAGCCAGGTCTCAGCCAGGCCTGGCTCAAGGTGAGCTCCTTAGTTCTACCCCCAGCGTCTCCCCTATTCATTTCTGTGGCAAGGAGTTGGGTTTAGTGGTGGAGAACAAGGATTCTGAAGGTTGACAGATCTGCTTCAAATACAGACACTGCTGCATCTCTGCTGTGTGTCCTTGAGCAAGTGACACCACCTCTCTGAGCCCCATTCTGCCTCCTCTTCTGTGAAATGATTTGGATAATCCCTCCCTCTTGGGACTGTTGGGGAAAGTCCCCAAGATAAGGTTGGCAAGGCACAGTGCCTGGCCCAGAGCTCGTGCCCCACAAATGAAGCTGTGACCATGACTCTAAAGATGCCATGGTGGCACTGGTCTCACCAGTGCCTTGGGGATGTCAGTGTCTTTCCCGCCCAGACAAGATGCTTTGAGCAAAGCCCTAGTGGGAGGGGCACAGAGGCACAGGCTAAGCACAGTGGTTAAGAGCCCAGGTTTGGGACCCAGACAGGTATGAGACCAAATCCCAGCCCTACCTTGGGGCTGTGGGACTGTGGGCAAGTTGCCTAACCTTTTCTGGGCCTCAGTGTCCCTATCTGTAAAATGGGGACAATAGTACCTACCTCATAGGATTGTGACAATTAAATGAGCTCATGCTGCTAAAGTCTCAACCCAAGCCTGGACCTTGCAAGTTCCCAGAAGCACATGCAGGCCCAGGAGGTTCCACAGGACCCTCAGACTTGCTGCCCTTCACTGCCCATGGTCCCCAGTGGCCCAGAGGCTGCTTGGGTGGCATGTCCATGAAGGACTGAGGTGCAGGGGGTATTGGCTTACCTCTGGGGGCTGCCAATCAAGGATGTGGTCAATGTCCATGGTCTTCCGGAACTCCATGTACTGAAAGGGAAACGAGAGTAAGACCCCACTGGGCTCCCAGCACCCTGAGAAAGGGGAAGGAAGCAGGGGTTGAGGCATGGATCCCCCCATGAAGCCCTTCCCTGAATTCCAAGGGCAGATGGGTCTCACCTTGCGGAGCATGGCCTCTGATTTCTGCAGATCGAAATTCCGAGCTGTGGGAAGATGGAAGGAAGGCATGAGGTGGGAAAGAGGCTGCCTTGTCTGCTCCTGGGCAGTGGAAGCTATGGAGGACACTGGAGGCCTGGGTAGGACCTTGCTTCCCTGCCCCCTCCCCTCTTCTGGACCCGAACACATGAAGCAGACCCTGAGAGCCCTGGGTCATTCTGGGGCAGCTGGACCATGCCCCTCTCGCTGCCCCCCAATAACCCCTCCCCTGCCTGTGCCCTCACCTCGGAGCCAGCGCAGAAGGAAGTAATCATCAGGGTTGGGCAGGGCAGGCAGCACGTCCTGGACATTTTCTCGGAACTGAGAAGAGCGATACTGGTTAGAGTGGCTCTCTCACGTTAAGCCTTGGCCTCCAGACTCAAAGATTGCTTGCATCACCCCTCCTTCCATCCCACATGCAGTCTGGCCCACGTTGATGGGCTAATGGATGAATAGAAGGAAAGATGGATCATCTAATAGGTGGGTGAATGGAAAAAGGATAGATGGGGGGGTAAATGGATAGAAAGAAGAATGGATGGGTGAATGAATAGGTAGGTGGACAGAAAAAAGGAAGGAAAAATCAATGAATGGATGGATGGCTGACTGGATGGATGGATGGACGGTTGGATGGATGGAAGGAAGAAGGTTGGATGGATGGATGGATGGAAAGTTGGATGGATGGACGGTTGGATGGATGGATGGATGGTTGGAAGGTTGGATGGATGGATGAATGGATGGATGGATGGATGGATGGATGAATGGAAAGTTGGATGGATGGATGAGTGGTTGGTTGGATGGATGGATGGGTGGGTGAATGGATGGATGGATGGTTGGATGGATGGATGAATGGATGGATGGATGGAAAGTTGGATGGATGGATGGGAGGTTGGTTGGATGGATGGATGGGTGGGTGGATGGATGGATGGTTGGATGGACAGAGAGTGGGAGGATGAATAAGTCTGTGAATGAACAGGACAGATGGGTGGGTGAATGAAGAGAAATAGGGATGAATAGACAGATGGGTGGGTGGGAAGAAGGATGGGTGAATGGAAGGAAGGATAAATGGTTGGGCAGGTGGATAAGTGGATTGGAGTTTGGATGCCTTCTTAGTTCCCTCCATGTGTTAGCCCACCAAAACTTCTGCCTTTTTTCATCCCATCTTCTTCAAAAACATGGTTAGTAATTATGTGTTCTCTCCCCTCCTTAACTGCGGGAATGACAACACATTGCTCTGTCTCCTGGGCTCTTACAGACTAGTCATCTTTCAGGACCCCAGGCAGGGAGGAGGAACACTTAGAGGATAGACGAGCAGCATCCTTTAGCTCCCACCTAAGGGGCCTGGGAGGGAGGAAGAGGAGTGCCCAGCAGCCAGATAGAACTCTCTGGGTCTGGTTCCTGGATGAGAAAAAGTCAGGCTTGATCCTGGGTAGGCATCACCCACACTATTGCCTGGAAGTGACTATTCACTCAACCCCTACCCTGGACAGGGCTGATGTCACTGAGCACTTTGGAACTTGACCCTTTGGGAGGTAACAGCAAAAAGACAATATCAAGGACACGCTGAATCAATGGAGTGGACAGTGATCTAGCGACTCCTTCCCACTGCCCCCTCAGCCCTTTCCCCCTGGGGCTCCAGGAGGAGGGGCTCTCACCTTGGCCAGGGTCTCTGCCTGCTTGGGGCTCAGGTCTCCAACTCTGCCGCTCATGGTGCCAGCTGAGGCTTGAGGAGTAGTGGCCACTACGAGCAGAGGCCAAGCCTAGTTTGTCAGCCCTGGCCCAGCTGGGGCCTTTTGCCCCCACTCCTGGGTGTGGCTCTAGGGACCTCCCCTTTGGCTAACTGTTTGCATTGCACATTACATAACTGGGATTAAGTGAGGTCCCGTGCTTGGCTCTGGGACAGGTCTGGGGGGCAGGTGGGCATAGGAGGGCGTGCCAGAGGTCCCCTGCCAGGAGGAAGCAGCTGGGAGGGAAGGAAGCTGGCCTCCCATGGCCTGGGGGCCCAGGGTGAGTGCCGGGAGAACCCTCTGAGTGCTCCAAGTCCTCTAGTGACCACTGCCCTGGAGAAGGGGGCAGCTTTGGAGGAATGAAGACCACTACTTGAGGGCACCTTTGTCCCTGAGCCTCAGCCCTCCCTTCTCACTAGTGAAGAGACCCCACACTTCGGGTTCTCCAAAGGTCACGACCCTACCCAGCTCTAACGGGGCAGGAGTCTGAGGCTGGGTCAGTCTAGCAAACAGTTACTTCACTTCCTTTGGGGAGGGTGTGGGGGGCTCACATCCTTCTTTGGTAACCAACATCCACAGTCAAGAAGAGGACAGAAAATGGAACTCAAAGGGTGTCCTTAGTGAAGGTTTGTGTTTTCCACGGGGCTGACGCTACCTTTCCTGATGTCTTTCAAATCCCATCCCACAGAGCTGGTGCTGAGGACCCCAACATGGAAAAAGGCTGAGCACCCCCCACCCTGCTGTTCTCTCTTCCCATCGCTTGGGTCATGAGGATAATGAGGGGTTTTTTTCAGGGCCCCTTGTCCTCTGGACCTCCAGTTAGGGACAGCACCCCTAGGGAGAGGCGGCGCAGGTTGATGGCCTTGGGTGGCGAGGGTGTTTCTTGGGACTTTACACACCTGGTCAGTGTGGGTCATCCACTCAGAAGGACTTAGCAGTTCATCCCTGCGAGGTGATGAGGGAAGCCCAGGAGGTTCCTCTGTCCTTTGATTTCTGCCATGCATTTGATGTGCCTGCGAGGCCCAGCCCTGCTCTCCACTCCTCCATAAAACCCCCTTTTCAAGATGGCGTCTCTGAGTGTCATTTGCTTCGTTTATAAAATGGGGCTCTCAAGACTTGCCCTGCCCTCCAGGGAAGATCTAATGAGACGTGGAGGCCGTCGAGGGCTGTGCGTGTCTCAGAAGCTCCAGGAAGGGAGCGACCCCATCATCAATGACAGTCTATAACAAAACCATCAGCTCTACACTGCAGCATGGCCATGTGGCCACATGTTCTTGGCCTCATGGCATCTTCATGGGCTGAAACTACATCTAGGCTAGCCTCGACCCCAATGGCAGGGCTAGCCTAGGACTCTTACAGGTCCCCTACCCCTGGTGCCTCCTGGATCCCCACCCCTGGGCTATCATGGGCCTCTATTTTGGGCTATCTCAGGGTATTTAGGCCAGCTGATATGGATCAGTACCAGACATCTTCCTGCTTGGCATCTTCCCTGCTCCTGCTAGAGTCGAAGCCAGAAGGAGCCAGAGGGGCCATCTCTGACCATTTCCCTCTGTCTGGGGCACCTGGAGCAGTTAGGAGCAGTTAGGTAACTCTGCACACGCCAGCCCTGCACTCAGGAGCAGTTAGGTAACTCTCCACACGCCAGCCCTGCCCCACCTCACCGCCAGCCTCCATGTCCGAAAAGCCCCGGCTGCTGTCTACACCCACTTCCCGCCAGGCTGGCAGTTGCAGAGATCAGGTTCCTCCGCTGCCCTCCCATTAGCCGCTAATCCTGCCCGTTTCTCACCCGTCTCCCGTCGCACTCTAATCCCTGTGAAGGGAGGTGCCCCAGTTACTTCTAGGGGCATCAGAGACTGAGCAACGAGGGCCAGAAGGAGGGATGGGGGTCCTCCCAGGCGCTTTGAACCTTCAGACACATCCCCAGGGACTTTTCCTGACTGCAAATATGCAGATCACCCTAGTGTGTGCGCCTCTCCTCGTTGTCTATAGTGTCACCCCACAGGACTTTCTGTGTATCTGGGTTATCCTATTAGACATATTTGGTAGCCAATAGTCCATGTGAAACATGGTTGGTGTGACTGAGGAACTGAAGTTTTAATTGAATTGGGTTTTGATTTTTACTTTAAATTGTCCCATGTGGCTTGTGGCTACCATATTGGACAACATAGGTCAACCGCATTTATTGAAGTCTTATTACATGCCAGGCCTCATTCTGAGTTTGTTTCCTCATTTAAACCTCAGAACATCACCGTGGGGTAGGTACCATTATTAAGCCCATTATACAGATAAGCAAACCGAGGTACGGAGAAGTTAAGTAACTTATCCAGGGTTAAGCCCACGCAGTTAGCCACTCTGCTGTTGTACTGATAGGCTGTCCCACAGTCTCAGATCTAGAAGTTCCCATCCTAATTAGAGAGAAGACCAGGAAAGGACCCACGCACAGAAGTCACCCCAATGCGATGCAGATGGCATCTGAGCCAGGCCTTGAAGAAAGGAAGGATTTTGATTAGGTGGGAGTGGAGGAGAGAAAAGGGCATCCCACATGGAGGGGATGGCTTGGGCAAAGGTGTGGAGGTGGGAAGGCGAGAAACAGGTGGAGTGGGGAGATGTTCCAGTAAACAGCATGGATCAGGACCCTGCCTGCGTGGAGCTTACAGTTTCCTGTTTGCTGAGCTGAGAGCTTTACATCATTATCAAACCATTTGGAAGCAGGTATGGGTGCCCCATTTTACAGCCTAAAAAATGGAAGTTCAGAGCTCGGCATGGTGGAACGCACCTGTAGTCCCAGCTACTCGGGAGGCTGAGGCCAGAGGATTGCTTGAGGCCAGGAGTTGGAGGCTGCAGTGAGCTATGATCATGCCTGTGAATAGCCACTGCACTCCAGCCTGGGCAATGTAGTGAGACCTCGTCGAAAGCAAGAGAAAGAAGGAAAGAGAGAAAGAGAGAAAGAGAGAAAGAAAGAAAAAGAAAAAAAGAAAGAAAGAGGGGAAGGGAGGGAGGAAGGAAGAAAGGAAGGAGGGAAGGAAGGAAGGAAAGAAAGAAATAGAAGTTCAGAGAGATCAAGAAAGTTGTCTGCGGTCACACAGCCAGTACATGGGGAGCCAGAACTTGAACCCAAGCCTGTCTGAGTCTGGAACCTGCACTGGAATCATAGCCCAGGCCCGCCTTCCCTTGGAGAGCTCAACATTGAGCCTGGAACATAGTAAATGCTCAATAAATGGTCTAAACTATCATTGTGTGGAAGCCTGAATCCACTCCTTCGGGTTGCAGTGTGTCTTGGGACCAGCAGGATTCATTTTCTCTGACTTGAAACAAAGGCAGAACCTCCTGCCCCACCCCTTCCTCTCGCAGAGCACAGCCTCTCTAGACAAAGCCCCATGTTGTGTTTAGATCCTCATTTGCCAAGCTCTCAGGGGCCCATGACAACAACCACAACCTAAACAAACAACCTGTCTACAAGGGGGTAGACAGAGCCGCCTGCACCCCACCTTGCACCCCCTCCTTCCAGACGGTTACTAGGAAACGTGAAAGAGCTGCTCCTATGGTCCAGCCCCGGCACATTCCTGTCCTTCCCTGGATAGATCAGGCCAGAACCAGTTGGGCAAGTACAAGGGGCCCCCAGCAGTTGAGGAGCCTCACCGTGGGGCCAGCATTGCTGGGAAGACGAGAGTGTTCAGACCACAGAAATGTGAGGTGGGTGGCCTTACATGCATGGGCCACTGCACCCAGAGATGGGGAGCTGGAAAGGGAATTGAGGTGCACTCGTCAGAGCCCCAGCACCCTGGGACAGTCCACCTTCCATCCTTTACCCGTGGGTAGTTTTAGCTCCTTTTTAAATAAAAAAAAATATTTTTTTGTTTAAGGGTGATGTATAATTCACATACCGTAAATTCATCTTTTTCTTTTATATTTTTGAGACAGGGTCTCACTCTGTTGGCCAGGCTGGAGTGAAGTGGCACAATCATTGCTCACTACAAACTCAAACTCCTGGCCTCAAGTGATCCTCCTGCCTCAGCCTCCCGAGTAGCTGGGATTACAAGCGCCACCATGCCCGGATAATTTTATTTTATTTTTTTTAGAGATGGGATCTTGCTATGTTGTCCAGGCTGGTCTCAAGCTCCTGGCCTCAAGTGATCCTCCCATCTTGGCCTCCCAGACTGCTGGGATTACAGGCGTGAGCCTCCATGCCTGGTCCCTTCATCATTTTTTAATAGAAGGTACCAGGTTTTATTATCTTTTTATATTAAAAAAAATCAGTAACAGACAACAGTGTGAGGGGTGGCTGCAGAAGAGGTACTTACTCCAACATAGCCTGAGGGAAAGGTCACTGGGAGTAGAAGGGGACCCAGGCAGCAGGGACCCTGGGTTCAGGTGGTGACAGGAGCTAATAGCCACTCGGTGCAGCAAGGGAGGGTGATTCCCTCCCCCCCCAGCCAGTGGAGTCAGGAGGACACATGGCCTGCCCAGGCTAAGCCATCCGGGGAGGGAGGGTCTCAAATAACAGGCCCAGCTGGGACCTCACTAGCCCTCCTTCACCCCTCCGCTTGCCAGGGAGACAAGGGTCATTCCATCACAGCTCAGGCTGTGACTTATTAAGCCGGTTTGGCTCTCCAGAGCAGTGCTGTCCAAGAGCTGCAGGTGCTCTCTCCGCACGGTTAATACAGTCACCACGAGCCCCGTGTAGTGACTGAGCCCTGAAAACGTGGCTAGTGCTACTGAGGAATGAACTTTCAACTTCACGTGATTTTAGTCGACTTCAACATAATGAACTCCCAGGAGTTCGAGGCTGCAGTGAGCTAAGACGATGCCACTGCACTCCAGCCTGCGCAACAGAGTAGGACCCTGTCTCTAAAAACATAATAAAAATTTTAAAAAAAGAAATTGCCTTCTGGAGTTAAAAAAAGTATACAAGTCAGTGGTGTTTAGTCGTGCAACCGTCACCACTATCTAACTGCAGGACACTTACCCATTAGCAGCCACCCCTCATTCCTTGCGTTTAGCCCCTGGCAACCACGGATCTGCCTCCTATCCCCATAGATGTCCCCATTCTGGATACTTCATATGAACGGA